GTCCACCAACAAGTTGGAAAAAAATAATATTATATTATATATTAGGACTTCACTTAATGCCATGCACTATGGGGTGGACATGAAACGAGTAATAGAGGTTGCCAGATTGATGTCTATCAAACGTATGTAGCAGTCATGTTCTAATGAAAGGGTGCTGTGTGATAAACAGAACTTCAGTTATTTTGGGCAAACAAAAAACCAAAAGTTTCTGAAAACATTTGGATATTGAGTGAGTGAGTGTGGCTTTACGCTGCTTTTAGTAATATACAGCTGGGCACCAGAAATGGGAATCACACATCGAACCCGGGTCTTCGGCGTGAGGAGCGAACGCTTTAACCACTGGGCTACCCCACCGCCCCCATTTGGATATTGAAATGTTATTGTTGTCAGATATGTTCACACTGGAAGCATATGTTAGAAGCAGCTGCTTGAACAATCAACATACGACGATATTTGTATTGACATCCAATTAGTAAAATATTTTTAGTTTACAAGCAGTTTTGTGTTTACATATTTGAAGCTCTTCCAAGCAACTCCTACGTTTAGACACTTTCACTAACGTCTACAATTGACATTATCATATTTCAAAAAGGGGAAAGATCGACAAGACTAAAGACGAAAACTTGTATTACAACTGAAAAGTATGGCAAGAGCAATATCTCGTCCATGGAGACAAGTGTGATGTTTTAACAAGCAAACATCTAACGCTGTAAAACAACAAAACACCGAGAATCAGCCACAAAATCGTTACTGCTGAAGGTACGTTAATTAGCAATAATCCATTTAATGAGCGCTCATGCCAAATGAGCAAATTGATATCATTCATTGTAATCCTGACACCTTTAGGCCACTGAGCGTTGAAGAAAGGCTTGAGGATTGGCAATCCACACCAAATATTTGGATTTATACAATGTATTTGGAGTCAAAATACTGCAGCGTTTAGATTGTCGGTGGATCACCCTCGGGGATGTTGTTGCAGGACACTCTTCCACTGACGTCCTGTTCGCTGTGTTGTCATGTTCCGTTGTCATGTTGACCGTCTGACTTGGCCCCATTGCATACCTAGGCATTATGAGACTGACCTCTCAAATTCACATCTGTTGCAAGACATGGTGAAGGTTGTTTCTACATCGATGATACATCGTCTACATCGATGATACGGTATTCGAATCATGGCGAGAGATAGCCAGGGATAGCCCAGTGGTTAACAAGTTCGCTCGTCAACCCAAAGGCCAGAGTTCTTTTCCCCACATGGGTACAATGTGTGAGGCCCATTTCTGGTGTCCATTGCCGTTATGTTGCTGGAATATTGTTACGGGAAACTAAACTCACTCACTCACCCACTGTACTCAGGCTTAAACTCTCAGTTAGCAACCTGCCCTCATCTTCACAGGACTGCTTAAGAATGTCTATGTGTATGTGGTGCACGTACATGTGATGATGGGAAGGCACCATACCCTTTTTGAAACAAACACTTCAGAGATTTGATACCATACAATTGGTCTTGTACACTTCAGGATTTGTTACATTTTTTCTACTGAGAATGAGAAGAGGGCATTGTTACTTGTTACTATATATAAACTGGGAGTCAAGAGTCATCTGGAAGCTTCTAGGACAGCATTGATTTATCCAGCTGAATAACAACATTTCAGACGTTTCTAGGACAACATTGATTTATCCAGCTGCAGAATTACATTTCCTGGAAGCTTTTCCACAAACACCCTTAACCCCCAAAAACCCATTCATAACAAATGCAGTATGTTCGCTATTTAATGGCCGCAGTATTCAACGTCCCTTTTCGATTATCAACTGACAAAAGTCGTTGTTTCAACATGATAACGCAAGACTTCACATAGCTCGTCACTGTTGACTTCCTTAATAATTCAAACGTCAGCGTTTTCCCATGGCCTTCCCGATCCCAGGATCAGAATCATTTCTTGGGTAAACGCGACAGACTTGTTAGTCAACGTCAACATAAGACACAGCCACGTACCCAGCGAGTTGCAGGAACAATGGGTACGTGTGTGTGTGTGTGTGTGTGCGCGCGTGCGTGCGTGTGTGTGTGTGTGCGCTTGAGTTTGGCACTTTTACTGCTGGGTGAATATCATCTTCACTGACTATAGCTATTACCACTGCTGCTATTTAATATTGCCTTTGAAATGTAATCGGAATTGAATAAAAATGTATTGTAATTGGTTGAATATGTATTGTAATTGAAATACCATTGAATACTGTACTGCCCCTCTGTTGTGTACTTCCATTACTGTAATTGTAATGGAATCTATACATCGGAACATAAATTAAGCACAACCGGAATACAAGGGTACGTGTTCAAAGTTTGATCCAGGCATGCGATCACAGCTTAATAGAATGCACAAGTACAGCACCTGCTTCACAAAATATCCCAAAAGCTCTGGGTTACATGTTCACGTGTCTCGAAGGCGCAAAGCCTTCATTAATTGTGGTTCTGTGCAGTTTTCTGAACTGATTTGAAAGACAGAAGACCATGTTTGGTAGTAAAATTGACTCTATTGCCTTTTCACATTTCCATCCCTATTTGTATATGACCCCAGGGGTATTATCCTGCTGTGAGACCCACCCATCCAGATACATTTATCTAAGCACATTCATCGTCTTGACTGTTAAACATTTTGAGCAAATATTTAGTCTGGTCCAAAAATTAAAAAAATTAATATGATCATGACACACATTTGCTCAACAAGTAGTGTATGAGTACGTGGTAGCATGTGATGGTAATATGACTGTTAACCTTCTCATGCCTCGGAGCCAAACATGGTTCAATAATCCCCAGGGAGCTCAGAATGAATATTGAATACACACTGATCCATAATAGTGCGGCGCGTTGAGCATAGATGTGTGTGGAATTTTGCACAGACATTTTCTATCATTATTCATGAATTAGTATCTGGTAACGTTGATTTTACAATCAAATCCCATAGTAGCTTTGAGTGATGACCCAACATAATGGCGCCATTAATCTATGTTGGTACATTGTCAGAAAAAAGTTCAAATAAACCAGGAAGCACAACAAAACACACCCAGTTGTCATGGTTAATAGAAGATTCAATATCCATTTTTATTCCAAGCGACCAGGAACTATAACCAAACTGTCAGGAAATATGTTCCCCAACAAATCCAACTGAAGCAAACGCAACATAATTCATGTAGTTGCATTAAATGGGTTAAACGCAATGTCAAACGACTTCATTATAATCTTAAACTACACCCTTGCTGTTGAATATCTGCAACAGTGAGCAGAACAATAGCAGCCCTGAGTTCGGGATACCAGTGGATGGATTTCAACGTTGATGTACACGTTTGCAGTTGACACCCACGACTTCCAAGAGGAGAGATCAGGGTTACTGGGAGCTGGCCATGGCATGACAAGGATGTTTTGCTGTTAAGGGAATTGAGTCACACTCCTTGAACGATAGCACGTGCATCACCATCCTGAAAGATTAAATGTTGCGTAACACGTTGTGCAACTAGTATGAACAATTCTTCTCTTTGATTACTTCCTGACGCTGATATGATGAACGGCAAATTTCGTCGAACCATGAGGTAATGGAGCTAAGATGTGTTTTTTCTGTTTGCATGTTTGCAGCGTTGATGTGTCCACTGGCTTTTTGGTTGATGAATGAATGGCTTGTTTGGTCAATGTAGTAAACAAGTAAATCATCAATGTACATCACGATACATGACACGAGATATGTGGGCAATAGTGTAACTACAGATAAAGTAAAACCGATACAGTACTTTACATATTTTAAAATGAACCAATTCTGAAAATATCAGCAGTTACGCCGGGATCATACACATGCACACGTGTTGGACAAATAACCCGTGTTTTATGCGAGTGTATAAAATCTGTCAGGTTTGTTGTAAGTACCATTTTTGCGAAATGTCGATAAAAACGTTACCTCAGAACATTATCAACAATGATGAGCACACTGAGCCTATAAACAAGGGGAATAGTATTATGGTTATACGACTTCTTTATTACAATATATGCGACGTTTCTGTGTAGATACTGACACAATTATTAAGCAAGTTAGCATCTACACCGGAACGTCGCATATATTGTCATAAAGAAGTTGTATGACCATACAACATTCCCCATACGAACTTCGAAATCGCTCAAAGACATTATGCCAGTAGGAAACCAGTCTCTTAATCATAATGACAGAGAACATGCAAACTATTACAGGACCACGATTAATGAAACTTACCCCACCTCGCTATGTGGTAACTTTATAAACACTCATCGCCCTTCTTGTCAAGGAGGCTCTAAACTCAGCAGCACAAATGTTATCACCCCTAGACTTGTGAATACAATACAACATATCAAAGCATACTGGTTCTAGTCAGTCATGTTAAACACGGTTACAATTTAATTGCCAAAAACAGCACACCTGTCATGGATTAACACAAATGAGAGTTATCTCCCCTAGACATATGCCTACAATACAACATACCAATTTAATTACAAAAACAGCACACCTGTCAAGGATTAACACAAATGAGAGTTATCTCCCCTAGACTTATGCCTACAATACAGCATACCAATTTAATTACAAAAACAGCACACCTGTCAAAGATTAACACAAATGAGAGTTGTCTCCCCTAGACGAATGACTACAATACAACATACCAATTTAATTACAAAAACAGCACACCTGTCAAGGATTAACACAAATGAGAGTTGTCTCCCCTAGACAACATACAACATATCAGAGGTATACAGCTTCTAATCAGTCATGTTGAACATGGTAATTGACGATTACAATTCAACTACAAACACAACACACCTGGCAAGAATTAACACAAATAAGAGTTACCTCCCTCGACGTATGACTACACTACAACATATCAATAGTATACAGCTTCTAATCAGTCATGTTGAACATGGTAATTGACGATTGTCTACAAACAATAGCACACCTGGCAAGAACTAACACAAATGAGAATGAGAGACATATCAATTTAATAACGAAAACAGCATATTTGTCAAGGATTAACACAAATGAGAGCTATCTCCCGAGACTTGTGACTACAATACAACATATCAGAGGTATACTGCTTCCAATCAGTCATGTTGCACGTTGGTCATGCATACGGGTCAACGTTGATACAGTGAAACTGGGCCGTCAAGAACATGGTCTGTCTTGGACACTGTCTGTTGCCGATGCTTCCCGTCTAAGATGGTGATGGTGGACACATGGTATCCTAAGAGCCTCACCTCTCCATCTGAACGTTCATCCGGCCTGTATCATATGTACATATATCGCAACGCTTGTACATTTAGCTGCTATATCAGTGTTATTGGCTGCATCCGAAGTACTAGTTTGTACGAGTTGGCAGCACGAGTTTTGTAGAATCATCTTATTATCAGTTCACTCTTTCGTGAAGGTAAAGTTCAGCATTTGCCTTCTCGAATTCATCCAGATTCACGTCTCCTCTTCTTCTATTTTCGTCTGTCTGCGTTTCAGTTTCTTCTTCACTTGGATAATATCCCATGTCCATGTCGTCATCAGAACATACTTCCGAATCAGTTTCATAGGAATAGGTATACTCATAGTATTCTGAAAAATGCAATGTTTTTATGTTTTTACCCTTCATTGATAAGAAACATTATTTCCTAACAAAAGCATGGTGTGTAAGTTATAGATATGTACAACATCCCATCAAATTTCAAGCATGGTGTAAGTTATAGATATCCGTACAACATCCCATCAAATTTCACCTGGGCAATGTTCCTACTATCGAGAATGTTCCAAAAACAGCAGACATGCATTCACTTATCCTGAAGTAAGATATTGCATCAACTACATTCTTCCAGATCACTTACATATCGAGAATGTTCCAAACAACGTCAGACATCCAAGATATTTTTATGGATTAAACTTCTTTTTAACAAAAATTAAAAAGATGTTTAATCCATAAAAATATCTTGGACATCAATGTACAACTTCTAAATGCTAATGAAAGACAACGTCAGACATGCCATTTTTACAGTGAATATTTTATCAATGATCGCAATGAGTTCTTCTCAACATAATTCCTTCCTTCCTTCCTTCCTTCATTTGCATACATAGGTAAGACTTTCTTGAAACAGAATTACTTTTGACAAAGGGGAAGACGTATTACACAAGAGAGATAAAATTACTTTTGTCTCTAAATTAGCATCGATACTTTCCTGTGAATATGTAAGATTCGAGGCTCAATAAACTACGATAATAACAATTCAAAGGAATAATAATAATTCGAAGGAACAAGTTCGCTAGTTCGTTACAACCGCAGCTCGTTCAACGCATGCCGACGAAAGTATACAGAATGTTGCAGAGACCAATACACATTTCGTTATATCCGTCAGCTCGTTCAACGCATGTTAGTTACAAATATACTTTACTGTAGTGTGATGAGTTTCATTATAGCAGATTTGTTTGATATTTTAGATCGACTGCATCGTTACCTACCTTCGTCATAGCTATCAGAGTCGTCATCTGCCTGGGCCTCCAAGCTGTGATTGTAGACATCAGGATCTTCCTGTTGAGCTTCCCGATCACTGCCTGTGTCTGCTTGTTCAGCTTTTTCTGCACCTGCGTGGTAGGACGAGTCATGATTGTCACTGGCTTCGTATAACCAGACTGTATTAACAATGACGTTGAAATCACAATTCGTCAGATAATTCTGGAGTAATTGAAACAGCCTTCATAATCATTGTAGTTTTGGAACATTTACTCGTGTTATCTCAATGTACACCGAGCAAATGTAAATGAGTTAATTTGAATAACATCTTCCCTCAGTCATAAGTTCAATGTCCAATACTTCATTATCTTGACCATCACGCCAATTTTTAAAACTGCAATTTTCACATTTCATTTGGAGCTACATTGATCAGTACTTTTACATTCATCTGAAACATTCGTATCCTTTAATATGTTTTGCATTCATGAAGGGAACAGGTCAAAATGGCCACACGAAAAATGGACACACTGACCCTAGTCAAAATGGCCACACAAAAAAGTCAAAATGGCCACAATCCCTTGTCAAAATGGCCATACCAAAAAGTCAAAATTGCCATACATTATTTGTTTTTCAAATTAATGAGTATTGTTATTGAAATGCTTTCTTAATTGATACTTTGAGATTATGAATTATCAGATGAATTATCAAAATATGGTATACAGTTATTTCCCGACTTATTAGAAATTGAATTAATTATGTTTGCAGACGCCATCGTTCTTGTATCTGATACAATTCCTTGGTTACGAAATCAACATAATATTTTGTATAATTTCTCTGAATACTCGGACTTGAAAATTAATTCAGTTAAGACAAAGAATGCTGTTTTCAGAAGGGGAGGACGCCCAGCGAGAAACAAAAAGTGGTTTCTGAATGGAGCCAGTAACAACAGTTAATACTTATAAATATTTGGGTGTAATATTTTCTTCAACTTTTAAAATGAGAAATTGTGTTAATGATCTGGCACTAAGAGGTAAACGGGCGTTAATGGAAGTAATTACTAATCTCAGTAAACTTGGAATTATAGATCCGAGTGTTTTTTTCTCTTATGTAATACTTTGAGCTGTTTAATTACTTTTGCAATGTTTTCTAAACTAATCCTTTAAGATGTTACTTCAAGACCCTTTGATCATTGGGTAGTGTTTTGACAACATGACAATAAGTGACCAGGACTACTGAGGACCCTTCACCACACTCCCATCCCATAGAGCCTGGTAAACTTCAGTAAACATGGGAAAATGAAATGAGTATTACAAAATACACAAATTATGTAGGGCCATTTTGACTTTTTCTATGGCCATTTTGACTTTTTGAAGTGGTCATTTTGCCTAGGGGTTTGTGGTCATTTTTACTTGGATGTTTTGTTGCCATTTTGACTAGGACGCTTCATGAACATTCAAGCTGAAGAAGGCGAGAAGAAATGAGCACAGTATACAAAAAAACAAACCAAAAGAACATGCTCTCATGATATAGTGTCCCACCCAAATGCGTTTAACGTCATATTTGTCATATATTATATCATCTTATATTTTGTTATGGAATGAGTTTTAGATCATGTCTATCTTTTGGTACCCCGGTTAGAGTCTAACCATTATTACCACTGTGTTCAGGTTGCTGAGCTTCCTCTGTCTGCTGGTGGTGGTCGTCTTCGTCATCCAGTTGAGTTTCCCTATCCTGGCTTGTCCCGTCAATTTCAGTAACTTCTAAATGTCAACCAATTCCAAAAAACATGTCAGGAGTTTTCACAAGCTGTGCATAAATCAATTATTTCAAAAAGGATTGTTCAAATTAATGAGTTATGTCATAAATGCATTTTAAAGATGCAAATTCGTTCATGGACCCTGGGAGACGTACCAATGTACTCATGTAAAAGATCAAGTGGGTACACAAAGTACACACTTAGACTAACAGATATCCAGTTTTCTGGAAGTCGCAGTGGCATATTACGGGCTCTATGAATGAGTACCGTTTGGCATTATTTTTTAAGTAACAGATGCCACATGCCTTTCTTTGAGATGGACACAAGGCGAGGAGCGGTCTGAACTATTGAAACAAAAACATACTGAGATTATACTGAAGTGAGCGGGTGATATCACCAAGTGTCAGCTTGCTATGAAGAAACGCTTTAGTGAAACCCATGAACTAATAAACATCATCAGAGTGTTAAATGAGCTTGCCTGATAAGGGACACAATCCTGCACGGCACAAGAATGCACTTTGCTACCACTAGGGCATTCAGTAAGACATCTTCAGCCTACACTGACATTAAGTTCAGGTGTTGTGTTCCACATGACGCCGAAAGACAAAAATCAATGATTGTGGGTTCGACACCGTGTTCAACATGGTCATGTTTCCTGATATGTAAGCACCCTACCCATGCTCGTGAGTTTCACTATAGTGGTAAACGTCAGAGGCCTGTTTTACTCAAGGACATTTTACAAATTAGCCTTGTACTTGATTTAAACATATTTTTATTCATGAAGATGAATTGGGATTTGTGAACAAGCATTTCTTCTTATGTTAACACCGCTCCCATGCAACGTATAATACAACATGAAATGGAGGTTTTGACGTCATCGATACTGACCATTGCATAAATATAATATTTTTAAATATATATAAATATATACAGATTACATGAACTACAACTCTTCTCTAAGTAGTCATAAGTTAGAGAGTTTACAGTTGTGTATGTCTAACAAACCATTGTAGAAATATCAATCAAATAATGAGAAGGTTGTTTAGTAAATTTAATTATTTTCCTGAGAAAATTTGAAGCGTTGTGTCTTGGTTATATAATCGTGGACGGATTCAACTTTTTTCTGGTTTACACAGGGAGTAAGTTCTTTGTTTCCCTTAAGAATGGTATCCAGGTTATAACCGGTAGTGTAAAAATACATATTAAGTCTTATCCGAGTATAGTTACGGCAAGTGAGGAAATAGCCTTGTACTTATCATACCTGATTGCTGGTCGTTGTCGCCTTCCTCATTAATTGCATCTCCAGCCTCCATGTCGTCATGACAACTGCCATCTTTTTCAGATGCTGTTTCGGCTATTACAATTAAGGGACACATTTGAAAAATATCTATGTTCGACTAAGTATTGGAAAAAATGGGAAAATCATCATAAGAAAGTAAAACTTTGGTGAAGGATAATATATGGTTTATTTAATGCAAAACAGTATCAAGATAAAACTTTTCATCCGTAGAATAATTATTGGTTCCAAGCAACCTATGTTGATCGGCGACCAAATAGACGGAGTCTCTTTGAAGAAGGTGGTCGACATTAAGATGCCCTTTGAGTAAGACATTCATGTTTGGGCTACTCACACAGGTTGCATTGGCCGGGAAGAATTGGATGGGGTGGTTCGTTCCACTCTTGGCCCTCGCCATAGTCTAAGCTGACCACTTCATCTTAAAAGAAAAGTGAGTGTGGAGGGCTTTTGATTTGACAAACACCACTTTTTATCTGGCAAATTACTCTCGGAATGAATGAAAATCGATTCATATTTTTCCCAGGGATATAACGTCTTCCCTGAGACCATAAACATTGATATCATTGGCCATATTGTTCGGGGAGGTAACCCAAATCTTGCTGTAAACTAAATGTTTAACATTCTGACACGGGAAGGTTGGTGTTAGCATTATCATACATGTCACTGACAGAGCAAAAGAGCGCGGACCTTGTATTTCTGACCAAATTGTCGACCAATTTGTGAAACTGGGTCGATGCTCACTTAATTTAACTTAATTTTGGTTGTTTTATATATACATACCAATAAAAGTGACATGATTAATATTTCATAAAAATACCTTTAAAGAAAGTTTCCTTTACCATTGGGTCTGAACCACTGTGGTAAGGGTTGCATGTGGCATCAGGAATTAGCACTGCCCGTAGAAGAAGACTATGAAGAAGACTATGATAGGTACTGCTGTCCGATTAGTATAATCACGAATGATTTGAGTTTACAAGCAACAGCTTCAGCATATAGTACCATTGCTTGGAATGTTTAAGTCTGTCATCTGTGTATCACAGTTGTAGTTGTGATCGTCCTGCGGAAGGGTTTCAGTCACATCCTTCTTATCGTCACCTGGCTGTTGCTTCTTTTTCCCACCTGCAACATACCAGGTTTATATATAGTAGCCTCATACTGTCGGGGACCACGCTATTATCGCAGAATTTGGTTTTAGTCATTTTGGTATTAGCGGTCGAGGGAAAGCCCAGTGACACAGAGAGATGAGTATTCTCTTTGAAATCGTTCTTGACGCTGATTATTACAAAACGCTTAAAAAAGAATTTTGAAGTTAAAGTTACGACTAGTAGATCCATAACGCGACCGAAAGACTAGGGCCGTGACCTCGCCACGTTCTTGTTTAAAGCATTGCGCGACAATATACCATGTGGTATATAATGACAAACACTGACATTCCTTTTTACTCTTACGACCACGTCTATAACGGATCTTCATTATGTTCATCTGCCTCTGGATGCCAATATTCTCATTCTAAAACCATGATTGTTAATGTTTAAGAGAGTATACATAAGTACATTAAGTGGAATAGTATTTGAGACAAGCGGACTTAATACCATGTGGACTTGCTTGCATCTCAGAAATGGATCGAGCTCAGTTCTGCCAAAGCATTTGAGTTTTTCAATGGTGTACTCCAATATCCCACATGACAAACGTGAGGAAAACAATTCCATCCTTGATCTATGGGGCATTTGTTAATAAATGTGGTACCCTTGAAGATCCGGGTCCTGCACTTTGTATAACAACTCCGGTTAAAAACCGATATCAATAATTTAAGCTAAGATCAGAGTGTAGAGTAAGCTTTCACTTCAGCAATATTCTAGCTATATAGCGACCACCTGTAAATAATCGAGTCTGGACCAAACAACCCAGTGATCGACAGCATGAGCATCGATCTGGGAACCGATGACATGTGTCAACCAAGTCAGCGAGCCTGACCACCCTATCCTGTTAGTCGCCTCTTACGACAAGCATGGGTTACTGAAGACCAATTCTAACCCGGAACTTCACGTGTCTTAAGATCAGAAATAGTCTTTATCTACAACATTGTCCTTCCATTTATTCCACAATAACAGCAGAGATCGATAACATCGTATTATAGAACTGTACTTATCGGTTCCACAATTAGCGTTTTTGATAATTTGGCAGTGTGGAGGAATGTACTTACAACTTATGTTATATTTGGGATTACACTTTCTTAGTAAAGTGCAGATTCTAGTACGTTTTGGGTTAAGTCCCACACCCTCAGAGTCAGGCAGGCACTTAATCGCCAGCACAAAAGTCAGCTGCCCAAACCCCACAAAATGGAATTCGGACCACTGATAGTCTAGACTGCGGATTACACTTTCTTAGTAAAGTACAGATTCTAATACTTTTGGGGTTGAGTCCGCAGTCTAGACTATCAGTGGTCCGAATTCCATTTTGTAGGGTTTGGGCGGCTTAGGCGTCTGACTTTGTGTGTTGGCGTTTAAGTGTCTGACTCTGAGGATGTGGGTTCGAATCCTGGATGGGACTTAACCAAAACGTACTAGAATCTGTACTTTAACTAAGAAAGTGTAATCCCAAATATAACATATGTTACATCTGACCACTTTCTAAATAGCATTGTGTAATCAATGTACTTACACTTGCTATTGCACAGGCAGGAACAAAGGTTTGAAAATATTCTCCAGACAATTGAGAATGGAATAGGCACGGGTGGTTTACTTTCATATTCCAACATCAGACTGCACCTCTGCCTTGCCCACACTTCGTCCGATTTTCCTCTTACTTCGTCGAAAATGTGGCTGGTTGAACGGAAGAACAAACGTATAATAAAGCAATAATTTAATAGGTACATGTTTGTATCAGAATAAGGTGTATTCTTTGATGGACATGCAGAAAATCTATTCTATTCCGATTTCCCGAAATATCTAATCTATTTCGATTCCCCAAAATATAGTTCAGTGTTAAAACAATTATTTCTGTACTGATATCATAAGGCAGGCGATTCATGTCTTTTTCAAAACAAAATAAGAATGATTATTGATTACACATACACTATTCACACTTTGCTGAGGATCAAATCATGGATTCAACAGAAAACTATTTTGTGGGGTCAGATTTGGTTTAAATTTCTAAGGTTATTGTAAGCATGGATCCTAGGTTTCAGTATGTCATTGCATCTTGTGGATCCAAAACCTGCTATTTATATGTGTTGTTTATTTGTCAATGACTCGTTCCATGATTTGCAAAATGGTTGATTGGTGCCATGAAAACCATTTTTATGGTTACTCATGTATCAAGTGCATAAGCTTAGATTAAACTGGCTGTTTGTCTGAAAAGGTGTTAACATATTATTATTAATCTAGTTTTAAAAGGATACAGTTTCAAAATATAAATCTACGCTTATGTAAAGTTGTGAATTTTTGTGATCCTTAGCAAAGTGCGAGTAGTATATACATACATACCATCCTACAGAAAGACTTTTCGGATCATCATGTATATATTAGCAGTAGGATTCTAAACTTATGAGTGAATTAGACATTTTTGGTGACAGCAACTACCAATAAAAATGTTGTATAACACTCATTGAACGTAAAGGCCACAAGTACTTTCTGCTGCCTATAAAGTGGCTTCCACCTCACTGTATTGAGGTAAACTAAATACTTCTAAATTGTAAAGTTATGGGTAACACATATGCCGATCATTTTTATGTTAAAATTTAACCTGTCTGATCAGTTTGATAAATTAATCGCCAGAATTATATAAATAAAAGGACACTCGTGAGATGGCTCTAAACCTTGCACGTCAACTGAACACAGCAATACTTTAAATCTTTCCCTTCAGCTTTATGAATTTATACTCACTTGAATCGTGCGATCAAAAGGTTCAGCAACAAGACGTTGGTCATAATCATGTAGACTGCCGTGAAATATGGAACATATGTTCTTCCAATGTTCGAAGGACATATTGGTTTGGAACAGTCTGGAAATAAGGGGAATCGATAGAAAATTCCTTCTTAAATCAGGCGATAAATCATTTTTTGTTAATTCTAAATTAGATCAGGACATATTGCGAATGTTAGATTGTTAATTACACTTAGTTACACAATTATGTTATCATACTTTCAAGTTCTTCCAAAAAGTCCAGTTGTCCAAATATCAACCAGAATGCTGTTACGGGGATATGAAGGACAAAGTCGATTGACCAAACTGCGATTAAATGCAACGTAGGCACCTTGCTTTCTTTCAATAATACGGGTTATATAGTTGCCTTTTTAAATGAAAGCTTTCATCCATGTTACGTCGAGAGAGATTATATTTCTAGCCAATACTCGTTCCGTTGAGGTAAATGGGTCATCTTATGTTATCATACTTTCAAGTTCTTCCAAAAAGTCCAGTTGTCCAAATATCAACCAGAATGCTGTAACGGGGATATGAAAGACAAAGTCGATTGACCAAACTGAATTCGGATAAAGAATGGCTTCCGTGCTAACTGCATATGAAAACAGCGCCACACACAGGATCACCAGAAACGGCAGGAGGTCTTTCACCTGAAACATGTATCGTGTTAGTGCTCATTCAAGATCAAGATCAAGATCAAGAGAGAGAGAGAGAGAGAGAGAGAGAGAGAGAGAGAGAGAGAGAGAGAGAGAGAGAGAGAGAGAGAGAGAGAGAGAGAGAGAGAGAGAGAGAGAGAGAGAGAGAGAGAGAGAGAGAGAGAGAGAGAGAGAGAGAGGTTGCTTCGACCTGCAAGTTTGGTCGATTAAATGCAACGTAGGCACCGTAATCGTGTAATCATACAAATAAAACTATTGCTAATACCATTGAGACAAAGCATTGGATTAAATGCAAATATCAAGTAAGTTTTTGTTTGTTGTTTAACGCCGCACTCGGCAGTATTCCAGCTACATGGCGCCGTCTGTAAATAACTGAGTCTGAACCAGGCGATCCAGTGATCAAAATCACGAGCATCTCTCTACGCAATTAGGATACGATGACATGTGTCGACCAGTCTGGTAGTCCGACCACCCGATCCCATTAGTCGCCTCTTACGACAAGCATGGGTTGCTGAAGAGGAACTCTAATTCAGATCTTCGCAAGTTATCAAATACAAAAGAATAATAATATACTGCTGATTTTTTAACCTCATTTATATTTAGGCGTTTGAGAATGGCAATGTGGTAAGCTTAAGCATACCTGTATTGCTTCCTCTACAAAAAAAGCTAGCATCCACACGAGCAGCGGGACCTCCCAGTTCCATTTGAATTCAAACGTGAGGACAATCAGCATGAAATGGGCATACAGGCCAAGGAAAATACAGTAGACCAGCTGAAAAACAAGCAACACAGAAGCTGGTGGAATTGCTTGATGATATGACTCATGCATTACTACTGCAGTTTAACGACCATTGTTCATCGTCGTAGATTGGAGTTATTCGAAACGACACATGATGCAATATGGCTTGTACTCGTAAGTTTGGTAACAAGTTCTATATTCAGGCCATATTGTGTCTGGGACGTGTATATGCATCAAACAAATTGCATATAAAACTTTTGCATATGAAATACATTAAAATAACGAGTTATGTGGCACAAATATGTTATTAGATACCGGCAGAATATGTCCAGTCTTAGTTACAGCTGATGTTGGTTGTTGATCAAGTTAGATAGACACCAGTGACAAAAGCCATCCCACAATGGTTAAAATCTCTGCTGAAGGCAGAGCCAATTGGACGATTTAGCTATATTATAAGAATGTGATTATAAAATACTGTGAAATGTGACAATTCCAGGTGTTTACGAGGGCGTTTGACATTTCGCCGACAAAGATAATGTTTGATGCAGTATATTGTATATACCATATGTTTATTTCAGTTAAACAATTGACTTGTCGTTGCATGTGTAGGGGAAGAAGATATGGTGTCGCCACTGCGTGATAGTCATCACATACAGATGCTGATGCGTCATGCACTAGCAACTGCTTTTAGCATTACTGCATGTCATTTTGGACACGCCAAAACACACACACACTCTCTCTCTCACACAATATACTCGCCCTCCTTCCCTCTCACATACACTTACTCGCCCTGTCTCTCTCTCACACACACATACCCTCCCCCTCTCTCTCATACCCACATACCCTCCCCTCTCTCTCACACACACATGCCCTCCCCCTATTTCACACACATACCGCCCCCTCTCTTTCACACACACATACATACCCTCCCCTCTCTCTCACACACATACCCTCCTCTCTCACATACCCTCACCTTCTCTTTCACACAATTACCCTCCCCACTCTTTCACACACATACCCCCTCTCTTTCACACACACACATACCCTCCCCTCTCTCACACAAACATATCCTCCTCTCTCTCTCACATACCCTTACCCTCTTTTTTATACACATACCCCCTCTCTTTCACACACATACCCTCCCCCTCTCTTTCACACACATACCTTCCCCTCTCTCTTTCACACACATACCCTTCCCCTCACTCTCACAAACCCTCCCCCCTTCTTTCACACACACCCTCCCCTCTCTCTCACACACATACCTCCCCCTCTCTTACACACACATACCCTTCCCTCTCTTTCAAACACATACCTTCTCCCTCTTTCTCTCACACATACCCTCCCCCTCTCTCACAAACCCTCCCCTTCTTTCACACACACACACCCTCCCCTCTCACACATACCTCCCCTCTTACACACACATACCCTCCCCTCTCTCACACACACATACCCTTCCCTCTCTTTCAAACACATACCTTCCCCTCTTTCTCTTACACATACCCTCCCCTCTTTCTCTCACACATACCCTCCCCTCTGTTTCACACATATACCTCCCTCTTTCTCTCAAACACACATACATTCCCCCTCTCACACACACATACATTTCCCCTCTTTCACACAAATATATCCTCCCCCTCTCTCTCACGCACATACCTTCCCCTCTCTTTTCACACACATACCTTCTCCCTCTCACACATACCCTCCCCTTCTCTTTTCACACACATACCTTCCCCCTGTCTTTCACAAAGACACACATACCCTCCCCCCTCTCTCTCACACATCCTCCCCTTCTCTTTCACACACAATTACCCTCCCCTCTCTTTCACACACATACCCTCCTCCCTCTCGCACACATGCCCTCCCTCTTTTTCACACACATACCCTCCCCTCTCTCACACATACATACCCTCCCCCTGTTTTTCACACACATACCCTTCCCCTCTCTCTCCTCTCGCTCACACGCACATACTCTCCCTCTCCCTAACACACACACACACTCTCTCTCTCTTTCTCTCTCTCTTACACACACACACACACACACACACACACACACACACACACACACACACACACACACACACACACACACACACACACACATATATATACTTACGAGGTACGATGTGTACTTGATCACTGGGGTTGAATAATATGCCCTAAGTCGGGACCAGCAACCACATCTTGTCTTCCTTGAGAGTAAAAGAGATATTTCACATTATTGATGATACAAGACATGTTGAGATTCGTTCAATCAGCGAGAACTTAGCACAGTCAACACAGATGGACACTTGTTCCTTACACATTAATCTAATACTGTTTGAAACAGGTTTGTCTACTAAATGGTCTTCCCAATAGCACGACGATTTTTCATTACTTTAATCTGAGATACCATCATGGCATTGTGTATTCATTTAATCTGAAGGTTAGCTGTATCGCAATAGATTTAATTGTCTGCAAATCTGAAGAATGCCAGTTCCAAAGCTTTGAAACAATAGATAATAAAAAGATACCAGCAGTTTGGGTTACTTGCTTGCAATACTGTACTCAATATAATATTAAACGAATGTTAACCCACGTTGCTTTGACATTAACATACAAACGTACATGCAGGTATTCTTCTCGTGCGCTACGTGTGGGCCTTTATGGCTGTCAGATTTTCTATTTGATCCTGATTTCTCCTTCAGAAACAACCAGATGAAGGCTGGACACAGGGTACACAAGAGCAGCTGCAATGTGATGACAGCTGATGTATTACATGAATAATGCTCGGTGGGACAGCAACACTGCAGCCTTCTTTACACCGAAATCACAAGTATAGTACACTTCGAACCAAACTATGAGATCCAAGGTGTGCTAACATGGGTACTGCACTGCCCATATCAGTGTTATCATTACATTGACCACTTTCTAAAAGGCATGTGTATATATAGCTTCGGCGATGGAATCCGTGTCAATTTACACTTGTGAGGGGGATACACAAGTGCATGATCTTGAGTGTGTGAGTAAGCTTAGTTTTACGCCGCACTCAGCAATATTCCAGCTATATGGCGTCGGTCTGTAAACAATCGAATCTGGACCAGACAATTCAGTGATCAACAGCATGAGCATCGATCTGCGCAATTGGAAGCCTGACCACCCGATCCCGTGAGTCGCCTCTTACGACAAGCATGTTATTGAAGATCAATTATAACCCGGACCTTCACAGATCTGCATGGTCGTGACTACCACTTGTCCGACCACTGCGGTGGGTTAGGCGCTGACTTTGTGTGCTGGCGATTAGATGCCTGACTCTGAGAGTGTGGTTTCAATGAATGGGACCCAAATGAAAAAAGTACTAGAGTCTGCTCTTCCCTGAGAAAGTGTAATCCCATGTAGTTCTTCCCTGAGAAAGTGTAATCCCATGTAGTTCTTCCCTGAGAAAGTGTAATCCCAAGTACAACTGCTGTTTGTTTGGTCCAGACTTTCAGTGTATTAGGAAACAGCCACACAGAACTTTCATCTGAGAAAATCACATTGTCCCAGTTAAAATTTCTATGCTGTAAGCACAGTTCAACCTTCGCTCCTTTTGTTCAGGTTTCATGATCGGTGATGGAATTCCTCGACTTTTCTGCCAACACATTGCATGAAGCTCAGTTCTAATTGTCTCCTTACAGACAGCCACAGTTCCTCTATCAATCATATCCAACCTTAAGTTTTCTAAACTCCCTCGTCTGTTTTTAGAAACAAGAATACCAAGCCGCCTCCTGTCACCGACAGTCAATTTTCTGGGCCTACCTGCGCCTCCCTGGTGCTCAATGCCATATCCATTTGCAATATTTTTCAAAACACGATAAACAGTGGACAAAGGGATGCCTGTTCTACTTGAAATCACTTTAGCTGATCTGATGTCCTCGTTATAATACTCTAAAATCAACTTCCTCTTCTCTAAATCATCAATACTGAGGATCACTGAAAATGTCGTCTGCTAGCAAGTAAACAAAGGGTGATAACTCTTCACAAACTAATGAAAAAGGATTAACGGAGTTGTCTCATGAATGAAACCAAGCACTTGATAGCTGGTCAAGGTTGTTTATCTAGAAATCCAATTAAACATATTCCTAAAATTCTGGTCATACTATAATAATGACGTTATCAAGCAGGTGAGTACAGTGGGTAGAACAATTACATTCATGGGTAAAGTTATATGTATAAGTGAAAGCAGAATAAACAAGGGAGGGATTAAAGAGGTAGTGCAGTTAAACGATGGACGACCATGTTGATGGAGGACGGTGTAGGGTCATTAGGGCTGAGGATAACAGAGGTGTCGTCGACATTTCTTTACAAGCATATGGGAGTTATTGGCGACGTCTATATTGTCGAGCATATTGTAATAAACACGTTTTATATCCACAGAACTGTCCCAGAAAGGTTAGATACTTTAATTTTCAAGACAACGGTATGGGAATCTGTACCGAAAAGTCGTACCATAACAAAATATAGAAGTTGTCATCCATAAAGGACCGCCTCCGTGGTGTAGTGGTTAGAGCGTCCGCCCGGAGAGCGGAAGGTCGCGGGTATGATTCCAGACAGCGTCATACCAAAAGACGTTAAAATATGGTACTTGTTGGTCCCTGCCTGGCGCTCGGCATTAATGGGTACAACAAGGACTGGTCGGCTCGGAGTCAGCATAATGTGTCTGAGTGGGGTATTCATGCTTCACTGCGGCATGGTATCTCAGTGGGCTAGCACTATAAACCCAGCTAAAATCTGGGCTAGTACAAGCAGCCGCACATACACATACACACGCATGCACGTCGTCATATGAGCGAAATATTCTCAAGCACGACGTTAAACCCAATTTCACCTCACCTCACCTCACCATAAAGTATCATGCCATTGTTATTATTCATCAACGAAAATGCCAATCAAATAGAACTATCCCAGTTGTTCAACGTCTAAATGCTACTCAAAGAAGCTCCCGATTATCGGCACTATAAGTTAAACCCACCTTCAGCATAGATGTAGATTTGGGGATGTCGCCATACCATTTTGATAAGGTGTAGAACACCATGCCTTCACTGTTGAATATACTCGAGTTTTTACTTTCGAAGGCCAGGGCTAGAAAATCAACACCCCAAGAGTTGTCTTTGATTCGTTTATCGATAAGCTTCACCGTCGTCTTCTTGTGGTCCCAATAACACGCATCCATTGTCCCGACTGTCAGTGATCGGTAGAAGCTATAAAATAGAGACACACACATTCACTTTCACACAGTTTCATAATAAACAGTTACTTAGACGTGTAAAGTTATGACGCACTGATATGCTCCACATGCATTACATTACAGACCGTACGTGCTAAATGTTGCTTCTAGTTTACAAAATAGTCGCCTGTCAGTGCGGTGACAGTTAAAGTTATGACTGGCCCCAATAATGATTCTGTGTTTGCATACACTAAACACATGGAAGTACACCACAAACATCAAACTACCCTACACACATGAAACTACACCACAAACATGAAACTACACCACACACATGAAACTACAGTACACACATGAGTGAGTGAGTTAAATGTTATCGTCACATCGGCAATTTCAGCCATACCATGACGAGTACACACATGAAACATGAAACTACTTGATGATGCAAGAGCATCATGTAAATTACTAACCTTGCATTTTCCTTTCGTATCGCTTTCTTCCTGCTATTATACGTTTTGTCTGCAATGCTCTCCATAATGGTACCGGCTATCAGGGCAGACACAACAAGGTCCTTGATACGAGATAAAAACATGACGATCTATTACTCATTTCAAATATTTACGTGACACATGCAATGGACATACGAAGAAGATATTCGTTCGAAATAAAATTTCATGGATAATTTTGTGTCTCTTTCTACACACGAATGTTTGTGACCATAATATATATACATGTACATATATATAAACATGTATACACACACACACACATATATATATATATTTGATATATATAACAGCGATATTTTCTCGTTTCGAGTTATTTCACGTTAGTTTATATAATTTAAGTATTTGCAAATCTGTCTCTTCCCCTGTATCAATATTCATACAACATGAACTTGCAACGGACAGTAGATATGAGCTGTAGACATTGTATCCATATGAAAGTTCGAACGCGCGTCTTCGGTGTGATTAAACCATTAGGAACCCCACCGATTAAATGTGGGCACATAGTTGCGTGAATTTACAATGCTGACCTGTCCTCGAGTCCAAAAATGTCGAGCCACGATGTTCCTGTTAGTTAAAACCGCCCACAAGAACAGCTGTGTAAATATTTCACCTCCCATAGTTCTCTCTTCCGTGTCGACTGTTTCTCCTGTGTAATGATGAGTCCCAACTTCCGATGTGCCTTGCTGAAGCGTGAAAATTAACTAGTAGCATAATTATCATGTTGATACATATCATTCTACACTATTAATCTTAGTGATACTTCACTTTCGATCTGTTGCCTTACTGACTGGTATGTCGAATCATGCTTATACGGTTGAGTTGAATACCTTTTGTGTGCTGTTGGTGTTCTGGTCTTTGCTGACGAAGACACGTGGTACAAACTGCTCGAGGATTCTATCCGTGAATGAGCGTATGCCCGCCTAAACGTTAAGAAAATAATATACGATTTATATGGGAGATAAAGAAAATATAGGTCAGCACTTTATAATGTGGCAGTGATATTCATTGTGTAACAATGCTTCACTGTATCTGTGTAGTACCTGCTCCAGACAATTGGTCGGAATACAGTGGAAAGGCCCACAAGGTTGCAATGACCTGTAGTGCCATCCAGACCTCCGACTAACTGTAGCTCAACACTGCCCTCACTAACAATATATCAACACATATACAATGTATTGCAGTTGTAACATTGTTACACAGTGTATAACACATAACAGGTTCCACGCCCCTTTTGGCTAACTGCTAAATGGAATATGGTACAACACCCCCTTTGATAAGTTCCTACATGAAATCTAATTCAAATATTTGTATTTCTCTACAGGATTATATGCACAGGAAATATTCCACCAAACATGTAATCTTTCACTGGTGTGGGGTGCGGGGTGCGGGGTGCAGGGTGCGGGGTGAGAAGTGAAGGGGAGTATTTATGGCAACATTCACTGGTAAAAACGTTCCGTTGGATCAGAACAACCAGATATTTCGGTCCTGATGAACCGGTGTCCATGGGATATAAATAATCTGTTATCTGCACCGTTGTCGACGAACCTTTGGTAATTATTCACGTATGACATTTTGGGTCACATTATTTTCCCAATTCTTGGTGTAAAATATTCCCCGGTAAAAACCACCAGTAAAAGGGAAGTGGGTTCCTTCATAACACAGCTCAAAAAACACATGTTTGAATTCTCACGTTTCGCATATCTCTTTCTAAGCCCGCATCACTCTCTTTCTCTGCATCTACACTCATGGATGCCCTTGAGCCCTTGTAACAAAGAGGAAATTGGTTGATAGAAAGTATAACTTATTGAAGTATAGTTCAGTTGGTTAGCGTCATACACAGAAGAGGGTAATTAGACTGTTTACATGATACCAAATACTGGATAAAAGACATCGATCACTTATTCAAATTCCAAGAGTGTGTGAGAGAGTTAAGATTTACACCGTTTTTAGCAACATTCCATCATTATTACGGCGGGGGACACCAGAAGTAAGTGGGCTCCACACATTGTACCCATGTGGGGAATCGAACCCGGGTCTTCGGTGTGACGAGCGAACACATTAACCATTAGGCTACCCCACCGCTCCCTCCAATTCCAAGAACAATTCGTTAAATTATGTGTGACATATATATTCCATATGGTGGACCTCTCACAATGAAATCATATAGTTCAGGTATTTGTGCGTCAACCCGTTCATGCATGCCCGTTCATGCATGCTTGGCAACTCAAAAGCAATGTTCACCATACTGGTTTGAAACACTCGTCCTTGAATACAAAGGTCAGCTCAACCTATGATCTTTGTTTGCAATCACCCTAGGATTTGTATACAATATATGTAAAACGGCAACGCCAAATCTCATTATCCTCCGACACAGATTTCGCTGTATAGTAGGTAAAAGGTGAAAAAGCAACTTATTCTTTGAAGCTCACATGATCTGATTCTGTCTTCCCTTTGAAATCTGCGTATTTTTTGTGAATGTTTCGATGTATCTCTGAAAGGTCAACCTCTAGCTGAAAGGAAAGTTATTAAAATGTTCATTTTGAAACATGTTTGGTTTCACAAATATTTGATGGTAAATAGTTTTCAATCAAGCAATGCGTTATTACCTTACTGGAACATATACTTAACACAACGACATGATTATTCTATCTCCAGATTGTATGATACCGTCTCTATTAGAGGCATGTGTTTATGAATAGCTATCAACTGAATGTTTCCACGTTGCTGTCAAGGTTATTTTGACTGATATCGATATGCATGTAAGGTCACTGAGCAACAAATCAGCGTTTTCAGTGCTGGGGTTGTCTGGTGATGCCCTGAAGAACACAAGTAATGTACCAAGCACACCACAGACACATTGTCATCCTGTAAGTCTCCACTATTGTCCATGCGTTAACAATATTGCTGTTTAACTCTCGATAGTTTCCGGAATACAAGTAGGTTTATTAAGTGTTTTTGTTACTAATATCGCCTTTAAGATTTATTTTTTCTTGAAAATACTTATTTTAATATGCTTTATATTCTCATATTTGCGCTTCACTGTATATCTTCTTTAATATGGGGGAAAAACACATATATATTTGCATTGCACATCGTAAACCGAGGTCACATTATATAAACATAAACACTACCTGGACCTGTTCCAGTTGTGAAATGAGCTCCTTCCTGTAGTCTCTCTTCTGTTGCTGTGAAATAATTTGCTGTATTTTAGCACTGCTTAATCACTTAAAAGCATAAACAATATTCAATATATAAGGTACAACCATTAAACATGTAATGTCACATGAGATTATGCGCAGCTGCAATTACGTGCAGCGAGGTGGCAAACCTTCAAAATAGTGTATGCAGTTAAGGAAGAGAGTATTTGATTAAAGGCGACAAACAACTTCGATCGTAGAATTCCGACTCTTATCATAAGCATGTTGTTAAATCACTTTTGCTCCACTGCCGCACCCCTGCCGAACACACGTAAAAGCCAGTCAGTTGCTCACAGGGGCATGTGGCACAAGCATCAATAAGGAATTTCATCGGACTTCATTTCTGTCACTGGATCGACAAATTTTGAAATGTCCTCTGCATGTACTCCGCATTAAGGTTTTTGGAGAGATTAAATTTGGCCTTGAATATTGTAACCTTTGAAATCTTCAAAGAAGTATGATATGGACAGAAAGAGAAGAGACTGTCAAAATGTCCTTGCTGCATAATTGTCAATTTTCGCAAAATTCCCAGAACTTTTGAGAATAGAGATGCCATACTATCTGCGGTAAACAAATCTGACCCATTAGAACCCAAAATATGACGTCATGTACAAGTCTGTTTCATTACTTGTACCATATGTTTCGTGCTTTTAAGGTGACCATTGAAATTCCGTTTTTTATATGCCCCATAAGTGACACATGCGGGGCAAGTTACCCTCACCTGGTATCTGGCTGTTTGTGATTTCTGGAAATTTACATGGGATGGCAATGTCTTCATATGATGAAATCTACATATAATCAGGTGGAGCGTCATAGACCTCCATATAATCACAGTGGCGTCCTTTATAATGTTAATTCGTCATGAATTGCTTATTGGTGTGGTTCGGAGTTAGTTCAATGTAATTTGACGCAATGCTCATGAAAAAAATATATCACAGAAGAGTTCAGAAACACAAGATGTAGACTTAGCATGCACACACACACAAACACGCACGCACACACACACACACACACACACACGCACACACACACACACACACATGCATGCATACCTGTTCTGAATAGGCAATGGTTTCGTGTTCCTCCTACAAAATAAGAAAAACAATAACTTTGAAATGATTCCAATACATATTGATTTTATTACGTATATACCTCAAAATGCAGAGTTAGCTAAAAGACTGAAAACCATTATGATAATGACGATAGAACGAGTTTCATGACACATTGCAAACTGCCCTTCAACTGTGCATCTGATCACGAAGCAGCTAATAGTGTCAGTGTACTGTATGTGTATAGCACCTACATAAGAAAGTTTTATGTCAGTTGATATAAAAACATTACCTAGTTTTTTTGAGTGTTCTTTTTTGTGTGTTTTTTGTTTTGTTTTGTTTTTGTTTTGTTTTGGGGGGTGGGGTGGGTTTTTTTTTGTTCCCAGGATTACAATGTCATATGTAGAACAGTGATGTACAGACAGATGTTTGACGTACAGGTACTATGTCAATAGCATGTTAATACACATATATAAGTCAATAAAAGAGAAATATGACCTCAGGAAAATTGGATACATTTTAAATTCATCAAAGTACTGGGAAGAGAAGACCCCATTGATGATTGAAATCTTCTATTTTATTATTTCTTTTGCATATATGGTTTCCACAAAGAATATTTCTTTCAAAGTTTTTATAAATAGAGTTATGTTTGGATGCGTATTTTTAATAGTGCATACGTAAATGTGTCTTTTTGCTGCAATGATGATGTGATTTAGTAATTAATCTTCAGTTATTATGGGTCACAAAAGTTTAAAGCGCTGAGTATAGATTTGAACTCACATCTTGAACCTGGCTATGTAATTTCACCTGTTAAGAGAGTAAGATGAGGAGTTAGAATTACCTCCTCTTTGCTGTTGATGTTGCTTCCGGCGGAAGACTGTTGGATTCATTCCAGTGATTTCTATAAGCGCCAGTTGGCTGTTAGTCATTAGCGAGGTTAACGCAATGACTCTTAGAGTTATCGCCCTTAAACATAAACTCGTTTTCCCAGTTTTATGTTCGGTTCTTCAGGTTGTCTGTGTGTCGCCTTGGCTTCAACAATAAAGTGTTTGGACTTGATTGCACGTGTCCTGGCTGTTTATCGTGGAGGTGGAACCTTCTCCATTGGCGTGGTGGCAGCGATATGGATTAACTACATGACCTACGCTTCCCGGTAACTACCAAAAACGTAAACGGTCAGTCAGTCAGCATATTGGTTTGATAGCACGTGTGATCGTTGTAACTGTTCAAAATGGCGCATACACATAGAGCCCCGAAGCAACGGTGTCTTACAAAATCTGAGACAGTTAATTCCTTTGAGAACTGGAAACAAAATCTCCATTACACTCTGTCACTAGACCAGAATTTTGCACACTTTTTGGTGAATGGTGTGACCTGGACGAAGAAAACTCGTGATAACCCTCGACGTGGTTTTGTAAACGATGGAGATGATGTTGATATAGCCATTCGTCGTACTTCTGAACCGAAAGCGACAATGCTTGAACTTATGCTTGGCCAGATCGCCAATTATTGCCCTGTTATTGCTAGAAGCACCATTGTCAAGAAGCCAACCTCTCTCAGCAACATTTGGCAGGGAATACGTTTACATTACGGGTTTCAGTCAACTGGATCACATTTTCTGGACTTTGTCAACATTTCTTTGTTGCCAGATGAGCGTCCTGAAGACCTTTACCAGCGTCTGGTTGCCTTTGTTGAAGATAACTTGATGAAGACTGGGGGTAATATCACACACCATGGGGAAGAAATCATTGAGGATGAAGAATTATCCCCATCTCTTGAGAACTTTATTGTGCTCACGTGGCTTAGCCTCATACATAAGGACTTACCCAAATTGGTTAAGCAACGCTATGGCACTGAACTACGTTCTCGTACCCTTGCATCCATAAAGCCTGAAATCTCTCAAGCTATGTCCTCCCTGCAGGATGAAATTATGACTAATCAGGACATGAAAGTTATGAGAACTGCAACGTCATTCCCTACTCAGGACAAACGACAACACTCTCGCTCAAGCCGTTTCCCTCACAAGAAAACTGACAAGTCTTGTCTTTTGTGCAAGTTGGCTGACAGACCTGATCGCCATTTTCTGAGTGAGTGCAGTTACCTTCCGGCTAGTGATAAACGTTATCTAGCTAAGGCTCGACAGATCGTACTTGCCCTTGAGGATGATTCCCACGATAGTCATGACCAAACCCCTGATGATGACTACGACGTTAAAGAGTATGAGGAACCAGTCGGTGTGATGAGAGTCCAAGTATCTCAGTACCCCTGCCTCAGTACCTTTTACCAACATCACTTGGCACGCATTACCTTGGACAGTGGTGCCACCGGGAACATGGTGAAGTTATCTGTGGCAAAGAACTTGGATCTTGACGTCAAGATTAGCACCCAGTCAGCCAGGCAAGCAGATGGTGTTTCGCCCCTCAGAGTTGTGGGGGGAAGTTAGTGCTGTCTTCGTTCGAGGCCAGGATGAATTCACATTTCAGGGTCTTGTTGTTGAGGATTTGGATGTCGACATTTTAGCAGGCATTCCCTTTGTGGAATTGAATGATGTTTATGCCAGACCCGCTAGGCGACAAATCTTTCGAGGTGAACGTGTCATCGTTGATTACAGCCATTCAGGGAAGGAGTCAAAGCTTGATCAACACACCGTTAGACGCGCTCAAGTCCTCAGAGCTGCGCACAGTCCCACCACTATTTGGCCAGGAGACTACGTCGAGCTGGAAGTTTTTCCGGAGTTCACTACACATGATGACCATCTCGCCCTGGAACCTAGGGTTGAGAACTTTCCAATCGGGAAACAAAACTGGCTAGAGGTTGACATCGTTCCCAGTGTCTGCGGACGGATACGCATCCCGAACCTGACGGATGAGCCTTTGTCATTGAAACATGCACACTTCTGCCAGGTGAGACATGTCGTAGATGCCCCCGACAAAGTTCCACCCGCAGACTCTGTCATCACTAGCCAAAATGTATCGCTCCAGAAGAAGCAGCAAAGTGGTTTCTCTCAAGCTGTTAAGTTGGATCCGGATCATGCCCTACCCCCAGATACGTTGCAGAAGTTCAGAACCTTACTTGATGAGTATGACGATGTCTTTGATCCCAACTTCAAAGGTTATAATGGAGCTTCTGGTGTTTGTGTTTGTTCGACCCGAAGTTGTTGGGGTAACTGCTGAGTACCTTAACCCATCCTTTCTTGTGAAGAAACCTCAGGGCGGCTTTCGCTTAGTTACAGCTTTCGCAGATGTCGGACGATATTCAAAGCCCCAACCATCACTTCTCCCGGATGTTGATTCCACTCTACGACAGATTGCTCAGTGGCGATTCCTCATTTCCACGGATCTCACCAACGCCTTCTACCTCATACCTTTAGCTCGTGACTCCATGAAGTTCTGTGGTGTAGCAACCCCCTTTCAGAGGTGTACGAATGTATGCAAGATCTGCAATGGGCATGCCTGGATGCGTTGGAGGAGTTGATGTGCCATGTACTTGGCGACCTACTTGAAGAAGGGGTGGTAGTAAAACTTGCTGATGACCTGTATTGTGGTGGTAATTCACTTGATGATCTATACAACAATTGGAAACGTCTACTGGAGACTCTTCACAAGAACAGTCTCAATCTCCCTGCATCGAAAACCATTATTGCAACTACATCCACAACCATCCTCGGTTGGATCTGGAGAAACGGTATGATCTCTGCAAGCCCTCACCGGATCTCTACATTGTCTGCTTGTGCTCCTCCTGAGAAAGTGAATGGACTCTGGTCCTATGTAGGGACATACAAAGTGCTGGCACGAGTTATTCCCAACTGTTCATCTATCCTTGCACCCCTTGATGATGCTATTGCCGGAAAGCAGTCAACTGATCGAATACATTGGACTGAAGATCTCATCCAACTGTTCAGGGATTCTCAGAGGGCTCTCTCAAATTGTCGTGTACTCACTCTTCCACGTACTGGTGACCAGTTATGGGTTGTCACCGATGGGTTCTGAAATCTGGTGCAGAAATGCACCAGATTGCCATGAACCTACTTGTCAAATTTGCTCTTTCGTGGCTCATACGGAAGATTCGGTTGTCTGTACCACTTCCATTCAGGACTTTATCACTGGAGAGTCAAGATTACCATTCACAAGCAGAGCTGCCTGGAAATCCATCCAGTCAGAGTGCAGTGATCTTCGACGCACACATGCCCATCTCACTCAAGGTACACGTCCGTCCAAGAAGTTGACTAACATCAGGGTCGTTAAACGTTACCTACAGGTCGCTTCCATTGCGCGGGACGGCTTACTTGTTGTTGTCAAGGAGGAGCCTTTCATGTCTAACAGAGAACGGATCATTGAACCACGCGAAATTGTCAGCGGATTACTGACTGCCCTACACATTCAACTCAATCACCCAACCAATCACCAGATGAAACAGGTCATACAGCGCTACTTCTATGCCTTGGATCTTGACAAGACTATTGAAGACACCACTGCCAGTTGCCATAGATGTCAATCACTTCGCAGTTTACCACATACAGTGATCCAACAGTCCACTGGAGACCCGCCTGATACTATTGGAATCAGTTTCGCAGCGGACGTTGTTCGCCGCAACCGGCAATTCATACTTGTAGTCCGGGAATGTGTCACATCTCTTACACTGTCCTGTCTACTCGATGACGAGCGTCACGACACACTCCGCAGCTCAATTATTGCTTTGTGCAGTGAAGTTCACCCAATGGATGGACCGCCTGCTGTCATTCGAACTGATCCAGCTCCTGGTTTTGTAGCCCTTGTTAATGACAGGTTTATGAAACAAAATGTTGTAGTTATTGAAATCGGTCGGGTCAAGAACAAGAATAAGAACCCAGTTGCAGAAAGAGCTGTTCAAGAACTCATAACTGAGTTACTGCGTCAAGACCCTCAGTGCAGTTACGTCTCGCCCCTCAACCTGTCTCTTGCCACTGCACGTCTGAACTCGCGGATCAGAACCAGAGGTTTCTCCGCCAGGGAAATGTGGACACAACGTGACCAGCACACAAACTCTCAGTTACCTATACATGACATGGATCTAATTCTTAGTCAACATGGCCAACGTGTGTCCAATCATTTACCAAGTGAGAAGTCTAAGACTCCCACCCTCAAGCAGGGTCTGACACCTGACATTGATGTGGGAAGCATAGTCTACATTCACAGCGATGGCTCCAAGTCCCGTGCCCGTGATCGTTACATTGTCACAGCGGTTGACAATGACTGGTGCAACGTTCATAAATTCACAGGATCACAACTTCGAAACCCTCCCTATAGAGTGAAAAAGTCGGAGTGTTACTCTGTTATAAAACCTTCACTGCAACAAGCATCCACTTTGTCGGCTGATCTCCAATATCTGCCAGTGGGAGATGAACATGACAGATTCCCAGAGTCTCTACCTCCTCCTCCTCAACCTCCTCCTATACCAGATGTCATCATGGAGCCCCCTACACCTGCAGAGAGAGCTGACCCCTATTATGCTGATGTGAATTCACACCCGTATCGCACTACTGGCAACACTGACTATCCAAAAGATACTTCAACAGAATCAATCGATCAATCAGAACCTTCTATGTCTCCAAAGTTGCGTCCCCGAGACTGGAGGGCAGTCTACTCAGTGAGGGTCTCTCATTTCCCTTTCAGTTTGTCAGCGTTATAATCCACCACTACAGGACATATTTGTTCCAAAGAGTCTAAAAGACGATTTACCATTTGTTTACTGTTATTAACTTTAGTGATCATATTCTACTGCATAGGCCCGTTGTATTTGGTATTCCCCTTTCACATGGATACATGTGTGGATCCCTTCCATAATTTTTTTATAAGACGAAAGAAGGAGAAGTTACGCCAGTTGGCAGTTAGTCATTAGCGAGGTTAACGCAATGACTCTTAGAGTTATCGCCCTTAAACATAAACTCGTTTTCCCAGTTTTATGTTCGGTTCTTCAGGTTGTCTGTGTGTCGCCTTGGCTTCGACAGTAAAGTGTTTGGACTTGATTGCACGTGTCCTGGCTGTTTATCGTGGAGGTGGAACCTTCTCCATTGGCGAAGTGTGATCTAAAGAGTCGTAGTGAGGCATGGCTACTGCTGTATAATAGATATATAAGGGATGGGAGTTGAGATGTATAGGGGACTACTACTTTGGCTTTACGCTCATGTCTGCTATCGACGTTTCAGTACCGAGGCCTCGTCTACACTGATCTTTTAAAAGATGTCAACAATCTTCAATCCGTATATCTGTTTACCAGAAATATCAAGATTTTGGTGAGTTCATATTTGAGATTTGTGACCCAATATTTTAGATTTGAGGTCCAATTGTATTGTATTAGGTATATGTACTGTCATTTATTGTAACCTTGTTTGTATTCAATATATAACTGAACAATATAGACTTGTCTGTGTTCTGTTTTCCTGGTTTAAAGGGGACTCACAAGACTTTTTGTGTCACGGTAATTTCTAAACCGTAACAGTACTTCCTCTCTCCTGTGTCCTGCCCTTTGTAATTTCCGTGCTGTCATTTTAATTGAGTCAGTTCACCATCACGACACTTAGTCGAAGGACAATTGAAACAGATGTTGTCTGGCATTTGCCATGCTTTTAAACCCCTGCTCCTTTAATGAGTTGACCGAATGATTGATTACTGTTTTGAAAAATTCACAGTTATCAATTTGAAATTCCAACTGATCTTTCCATGCAGATTAGACTTGTCGAGTCTTTAAGATGTACTTAGTGAACAGATCAATTCATATTTCTTGAAAGGAGTTAAACTGACTAAACTAGTGAAGTGGCGGTACAATTACATATGCACTTTAATATGTAGACATTATTTTTGCAATAAAAACAGTGATGATGATATTTAGCCTAGGCTGAGTGTACATGATTAAAATACAAACTTCAACCCTTCGCTGGTCTTAGTGGAATGTGTGTTGAGAGGTGGCATGCCGGATCCAAATGCATCAAAATTTATTTACTTCCACACCACTGTTTACATGATTAGGTAATGCATTCCTGACAACTGTAATTCAATTACAGCATTGTTTTACAATATTGAAGAGGCATAAAAGTGATGTATGCTTGTCAGCAAAATAAACAAGAAGGACATGTTTGCACAGGATTAATGTTGCTCCTAGATTTACTAATATATACAACTGAAACAAAATAGTTATTTACCATCTAGATTTTGAACAAGATTACCTTGAATAGGTCCGTCTTTGTTTTCTTTCGGTTATGCGCTTTCTGTAAAATTGAAAAATGTACTTTGTATATATATTTCGTACATAGATAAATACATATGGTACTTTTTTCAAACAGAATCTAGTTCCTGTCTTACAATGACACCAACATAAGTATTATTAAGGAAGACTGACTGACTGACTGAGTTTGGTTTTACGCCGCTTTTAGCAGTATTCCAGCTCCATCACGGCGGGGGGAACACCAGAAATGGGCTTCACACATTGTACCCATGTGGGGATTCGAACCTGGGTCTTCGGCGTGACGAGGCAACGCTTTAACCACTAGGCTACCCCACCGCCCCATTAAGGAAGAGTTTACATTGACCATTGTCATTCGTTCTTACTTTATCATTAAATCACTATTGTCCATTTCCCTTTCATGCTCGAGATATGGGACCTCACTGTTACGATCAGCCTTACCTTGCACAACTCTTTCACGAATGTGCACCTGTTTGGAGTATCCTGCAACATACGAAATCATTATACTGAGTAGTAAATCTGGAAATATGTAATAATGTGCGATTTGAAAGACTTTAATTATGATCTATTGTGTGTAAATAACAATAGATATAAACATCCGTTTACCTCTTTGTCTTCTGAGATGAAATCCATTATTCGTTTCAGGTCATATTCTTTCTGCATAAATGAAAAAAAGCTTTGTTAAAAAAGCGGTTTAAGGAATTAAGCTTAAGAATCAAAGATCGCCGTTTGATAGGAGTTTGAAAAAGTCTTTCGCAAAATGGCTATCCCAACTATAATTGTTCTCAACCAGGAACCACAACGAATCATATTTCGATGATATTTTGGTTTGATAAAATTGCCCGCAAAGAATATTTAAAAATATGGTAGTCAAATATGGTAGTCTGAGACGCAATTTTGATCAGCAAATAGCGTTATCTCACACGACTGGACATCTTGGACATGACATTGAACATCAGATGGAGACCATCAACAAAAATAGGACATTTGCACACAACTCCCCCAGAAAACAGGATGGGGAAGCGCAGTAACGTTATCTTGAAAGAAGGGTGTGTTGAAGACAATGTGGCCATTCCCATTCCATTAGTGGACCGTGGTCGTGGTGATGCGAGGAACATTCTGGACGTGATCACCACTGTGAGTGACAACGGACGCTCGCCCTGCTGGTGTCCTCCAATGCAAGGAACCAGTTCGATTTGTGCCCAGAGTAACTCGTAACTTTATAAGAAGTCAACACTGAAAATTCAGTATCCCTTCGTACTGCTGTTGGAGCCGAATCTTTATCAGGAGGCCAGTGTTTCGTAAAGTGTAAATGTGCTGGTAGCAAGAGATGTGGAACCAAGAAATGCAAATGCTTTAAGAACAATCTTCTGTGCAACAGCCTGTGTCATTCAAGTCTCACTTGTCCAAATAAGTAATGCCAAACTCTATGTTGAAACTGGATAAATAAAGTTTTCACTTTTTTGTGTTTCATTTTTTAACTGAAACGATTTAGTCACTTGGTCAAATGACTGGTTGAAACTTTTAGCCATTTGACCAAATGACTGGTCGTTTCATTTTTTGACCAAAAACACATTCATACACTATTAGTAACTTTCCATCTACACTATCTCACAGCGGTCTATTATATACGTATAGCCTAACAGTCAAGCAAACACGATTGGGTCGGATGACACACGAACAATTCTGTAATAAAACGATCCTCCATTCAGTCAACTCATAAATGGAGCGGGGGTTTTAAGGCATGACAAATGCCAGATAATATCTGTTTCATTTGTCCTTCGAAAACAATTCCTTCCTGTGAAAATGATCATGTTTTAGGACACACCATTGGGGTAAACACGATGAACATAGATTATATTAGGTTTCAACCGACCTTGCTCTTGTGGAATATTTCTGACACATTCTTCTGCAGGCCTTTGTTCGTCTGTAATTATATCGATATGTGTTGACACAGTCGATCAGGTGTAACTAACAACAAAGCTGAATGTATGTCAAAACCATAACAAACAAACACCTAATTACATCACCCTGGTTAGAATGTTCTAGTAACAGATTGTTTCGTAATGTCGAAACAACGAGGTCACGGACTGGTATTAATTATGTGCTTCTAATTCGAACACTTCTCTATTTATGAAAACGTCACTCGATTAGTAAAATAATTCAATATTCTTCAATCGCATGGGTTGGTATCATTTATTTGAACGTCTGATTATGGATATGGGGTTGGTTCAACAGTGGGTGTGTTTGTGCTTATGACCAGTTGATCAGGATACAGATTCCAGATCATTAAAATCATTGGCTTGTGATCATTGGTAATTTTCCAGATCTGAATTTGCTATTTTTGTTTAATATTTTTGGGTCAAAAGGTAATGTCTCAAAACATCCTTAATATGGTCAGTATGGATGGATGTCACTGATCATAAAATAATCGTAATGCAATAAATGGTCAATTAGCTACTTGGTCAATGTGAAGGACATTTTACGAAAGTGTGGTGAAAGTTACTTGTCAGTTCTACGCTTGGGAAGACAAAAATGTAAATATATGAAATCATTACAAACGAAAATAGCAACGGTACAACTAGACAAATAGAATATCTCACCCAAGTATCTTTTGATATCAAATATATCACCACATGTTGATAAAGTTTCAAATATTGGAGGCTTGCCGAGGATATATTTACTTGATATATTTGATATCAGAAGACACGAGGGTGATATTCTATTTATCATCAAAAATAACCCTTCATTAGTTTTCAATGAAAAATGTACATATCTGAACATGGTACTGCCATTAGACTTTCTCTGTAGCGATGTCATATCATTGTGACGTCATCGGGTTTTTGACGTCATAGCATTGTGAGTCATTTAATTGATGACGTCAGGGCATTGTACAAAATCTACTGTCAAAATGATATCTCCTAGGATGACGGGCATTGTCCAAAATCTACTGTCCTAGGAGATATCGTTTGATCTCACATAAGCAATATCTCCTGTGGAAGACAGTTTTGGATGACAACATATTCATTGCCGAACGGCTGAAACTCGTTAACATAATATATTCATTACCCACATGCGTTAATTAGTTATCGAGCGGGATATGAACTCACCTTTTGGTACAGTTCCAACATGTCAAGATCTTCCACTGCAGAAACCCCACAGTCAAGAAGGAATTCAACGCATTCAGATTTTTCTTGTAGAATTGCTTCTCTGAACACCATTTTGACAATGTTTTCAGCATCTATATAAGAATTAGATTATATTTCAGTACACAGTCATCGCAAACATAAATCTTGCATCAGTTTCATCGAAGTGTCATCATTAAGTGACATCACTCTATGTCCTTGAGAAATATACGTATCTCTAACCATAACCGTGAATGTCTTGTATTCACCAGACAGCAGCGATGTGGTTTGGGCGCTGTTTCACCCCAAAAAATGAGACACAGAAATTGACAACCTAACAACAATGAACATAGACGAATATGGTAAAAGCTTTGCAAGTCTTGGAACATTACTTTAGTGTAAGTTCACATGTGGATGTTAAGACGCAAGAAGATCCAACCACTCATCTAATGTAGACATAAACATTAATCGAGCACGAGCACTGACATTGAAAATTAGTAACAATGTACTTGCAATCTGGAGTACACAAAAACGTGTACATCAACAATGCCAGAACGTATGGCCGCCATGACTACTCCACCAATCTGTCACATAGTTCTCAAATAATGATTGTTGTGATTGTTTGAACCACCACTCGCTACCACATCAGTAACTGGAGCAGCCACCGCTCGCCCAGGCAATCAAGCGTCTAATTCACAGTATCGAAATAGTTTTCCATTCCTTATAGAGTGTCTGCGTCAATTCCTGCAGATGTGCAACAGGAGGGCTATTTGCGTTCAAGATAGCCCCATAGATTTTTGATGGGATTCATTTCGGGTCTAATTGCGCACCATGGGAATGTTTCGATGGCCGTGATCTGCAAATGGGCAATGACTGCTAGAGAACGGTGAGGTCTAGCGTTGTCATAAACGAATATCGGACGAATGTCAAGGGGTGGTTATTAAAATGTAGTCTGAAGGCAGTATCCAGCTGGTTCAACTTGTGATCATAAACCCCACACCATCATGGATCCACAGCCAAAGAGTTCACCTGCATGGACCATCTCTCCCACTCGCCAATGCAGCGCCGGTGCAGTTCTTCTGTATGGGGGGTGGGGGGTGGGTGGGGTGGCGGCTCTGAATCACGTGATGTACTTGTAACATTTCTCTGTGTATAATCGCTTGTTTTAAACATTTTAAATCTTAAACATTGACCTTGGTGCTTTATTATGTTCATCTGTATAGTTTAATAAAGCCTCTAAAACAAAATGCGCATGAGCTCACCCTCGAAATCTTTATAGTTGTCATCATCTCTTGTTTTCAATGTGTTTCTCAGCCTTCTCTTTTGTTTTCTACTGTACACTGGTGTCGGTAAATATTCATCCACCATTGATATCAAATCAGTGCTTGTTTTTGCTGTAAATCAATTGGTATTGGCTATCTCAAACACGGAAACACAAGACATAAGTGAAAATGAAGCACAAACTTTATAGATGACAACTTCTTGTTTATTCCAGAGCGACCTTTCGATGTAGATTATTACACCGTTATCAAGCTACCACTTTTTAGCTTGATAACGGTGTCATAATTTACGAAACGTCGCTCTATGCAATATACAAGAAGTTGTCATCCATAAAGTGGTGTGCCGCATATTTTTACTCCCCAATATCTAGAATGATGATTAAACAAGGTATGGGTCGAAATACAGAATTGCCTAGCCACTTGGAATGTCAAGCACATATCTACCATAAGTGAGTGACTTAAACGTTACCGTCACATTGTCGTTATTGCAGCCTTATAAAGACCAGACCAGGTCTACAAATATAGACATATCCATTATTGATACAAAGTCCTATCTAAAAGTAATTTCATGTAATGTGCATATTCCACCATTAGAGTACTATTTACAATCTTAAACACCACCACACCGCAAAATCCAAATATTTTTTATATACATGCATTTATTTACTTATAATGCAGACTAATTTAAGTAGGTAATACTGAGATGCTTGATCACACGGGTAAACAGATCGTTCAGATTTGCTGCTTGGTAATTCGAATCCCTTTCAACTGAAAACGTACTTGTACAAGTCGCATGACACTGAAATCTGTGTAGAAAATCTACTTTCACCAAAAGTAACTTCACGATTTCTAGGCACAAAGAAAAGTTGACGATGTAAAGCTGAAGTTATCCTATCTTGCGAATAGTTATCTATGTTTCTTTGAATGTTTATCCAAAGATCTAAATACAAAACTGAAAAGGTGGCATCTTTTGTCTGGTTCATTTGGGAGGATCAGTGGCAGGGAATTGGGTCTGTGGTCTGTAATAAATGATATATACATAGCTAATTCTTAATGCAAACTTTCTGCAAGATGTACATGCTCATATTGCAGTACCGATGTTACCAAGTTTACTTTACATCACGCATGAGGTGGCCGGAGACATAAAAAGGTATTTGTAAATTGGACAAGACCTCAATATTTGGCTAAACAACAAGATTGCTTGCTGATGACACTTGGTACTCCCTGGTAGTAACACTGCTAGAAAAGGTAAACGTTAAGGATATAACACAAACAAGTTGAAATGTCATACTTCTGATAATTGCTGACATGATTCCTTGGAAAAGGGCCCCTTCTGTTGATAGGTCAACCACAGAGAGGAGATCACGCCTTTGAAGACATTGCAGAATCACCTGCACGTATTCGTCAACTTCTTCACCCGGATCCAGCATTTTCGACAGCATCACACTTAACTTATCCTTTGCACGTTGACTGATGACTGTCCAGAAACTGATGAAATTAAACAAACAGTGGTTACATGACTGTTACAAGCTATTCCACCTTGGGCAGTCAATGAAAGAAAAAACACAGGTAAATATACATATTGAGCCCCTAAATGTTTCTGGGAGAATTAACTAACCGTTCATTTCTGTCATCTTTCATCCTTTGAGAAACACCCTTCGACGTTTCCATTGCATAACAAAAGGCATTCGCTACACAACCAGAATCCTGAAATGAAAATCGTTGTCGGATGTTGTACGTAGTACTTTGAAACGCAATCACGGACTGCGCCATACATTCGTATGCGGAGCATTTCAGAGTCCCTCTAAATGTAGAGAGCCAAAATACCATTGGTTTACAAATATCGTAAGGGTTATTGCGGCAACATATGAAATTAATCTGACAGGAGTTATGTAATCCGGCTCACCAGTTATCACATTACGTTTCTTTCTTATCTAACTCAGAGCTTTATCACAACTAAAGGCAGTGGTCTCTTATATATGCAATCGAATCTGGAACAGCAAAACAAAGGATTGACGTCGTTGGCATCAATCTGTACGGTTGGGATAACACGAAGCAAACCAAGGCAGTGAGCCTGAACCAGGGCTTAAACCGTGGAAGACGGTAGAGGAGTTGTATTAGATATACCCACACTTTCCTCGGTGTGTCGCTCAATACCCCTACTGTTTGAGTCGTGTGGCCTCCGAGGTGCTAGCCGAGGAAGTGTGGTTACATCTGACTTATACCTCACTTCTGGTCGAGTTACGAGTTTACACTTTATAATCTAAGAATGACAAAAATGTATTTGTTTTCCATCTGTTTCATTTATTTTTTAGCCCACTGGTTAAGACCCTCAAATGTCCCGCGTCTATAGTCTGTTTGCAGTGAAAACGTACCGATCAATTTCACTTTAAACAAAAGTAATCAAATAAAGTGAAATAAAGATTGCGAATTTCATAATTTGACCTTGCCAAATGAACATGTCAGAATTATATTCAACTTAGAATAAAATTTGTTTAACAAATTATCATAGTTTCAAATCAATATTTTTGGTTTGTATTACAATTTTAAGGGGTAAGCGCAGTAGTTGAAACAGTGAAACAAATGCCCGTGAGGTACGTAATGAGCGTTAACTTCAACCAAACCTACATGTTCTCGGTGTTTCATTTAATGCGCATACCCTTTGTAATACAAACCAATAACAGCGCTTTGAAACTATGATTGTTTTTAAACAACTTTTATCCTAAGCTGAATATAATTCTGAGATTTAAATGTTCAATAGGCAAGGTAAAATTATGGGGATTTGCAATCTTAGTTTCACTTTTTTATTTACTTTTGTAAGTGATATTCATCGGTACGTTTTCACTGCAAACAGACTATAAGCAGTTCATTGCACGTGCATGCACGGGCTTGCACGATTTCACACTATTTTAAAACCAGTTCGGGCGCGTGAATGATTTCAAGTGCATGCACGGGCTTGCACGATTTCACACGATTATAAAACCAGTTCGGGCGCGAGAATGATTTCAAGTAGCCCCAAATATACGCAATATTACTGATAATTGACATTTGTATTGGCAGACCAATGCGCATGCGTTCTCTGACTCGCATGTGGCATAGAAAACATTTGGAAGATCACACGTTTGTCGGCCATGGATGCTGAAGAGTGGACAGAGGATTTTCTTTCTCAAATTGACAGTTCGTTAGCGTCACATTTTGACCTGGATGATAAGGAAGATTTTGAAACAATCGAAATCTCAATGTGAGTCCATTGAAATAAAATTATATTTCGCCGTTTGTTGTGTCTTTATTGCTTCGGTGTACCCTAGTGAAAAGTGTAGGGTATCATTGATACACCTACACTTTGACAGGTGTACCGGTCAATACACCTACACTTTTAACAAAGGAAACAATGGCAACGAGACCGGAAGTGGGGTATAAGAAATGTAAATGTACCGCATGTCCCAATACAATCGTAATTGCCTTACCTTGACAATAACGACTGGTATGTTCTCTCTAAGGTAGTTTCTAATGGTCTCTAGTGTGTACAGGTCACCACGAAAAAGGATCGCAACAGCAGGAATGGCAGGAGATGCTGTGAAAGCAATGAATGACCCTTCAACGTAATCTCATTAGTATACTACTACACTAATAATAACAATAACAAGGTTACCATCCCGAACTTTGCCAGCACAGGTACGCTTGTTTATCCCCTTTATACTTTTTAAGATGCGGCCTGTGCCTATTTTGGAATGCTCGAAAAAAGCACCAACTGTGAGTAACAACTCAGACCTACAGGGCCTGGTTTCATCGCATCAGAGCTCTACACGCGTCCATGAGAACGTTTTAACGACGTTAATTTTTGAACAAAGGTAATGGTATGGGCCATCACAAGTTATAGAAGAGAACAAAACTGTTCCAGTTATTGGTAATCTGAATGGCGTACTCTACTGGCACATTGGTCCAGAATATGTTCTAATTTTGGTACAAATGCCATTTTGTAACGTCGTTGAGACGGCAAAACATCATTGAAATTCAACAGATGGTTTCTCCAGATCTCTCCGAAAAGAACATGTCTGGGATGAGATGACCAACGACTTGGTCAGAAACAGCCGGTAACACTAGCTGAGTCGGGTCAATCCTTAATTTCCCCAGAATGTTGCATGTATCAACAGTGACAATGTTGATGGAATCTTTGAAGGGCATTTAGAAGTGGAATGCATAAGAAAAGCAAGATTTATCTACGTCAATTCTTGATAGTGAATAAAACTACATTTCGGACAATATCTTGCTCCTCCATTATTGATGAAGGACACATACACTCCGAAACGTCGTGTTATTGACTATAAAGAGTCTACAAATCTTGCTTTGTTTTTCTTATTGTTGATGGAACTGCCCAAGAACTCTTTTTACCAGGTATTGATTTAGTTATGATAAAACATTAATTAAACAACTGATCATATGCTGTAATTTTTAATAACATAACATTAACACCACTATATCTCAATAGGCATATTACTCTTCTCTTTTCAAAACAGAAAAATATATAGGTGTTCTTTCATAATGGAAACAAAGTTTGAAGGAAACAGTCAGTTTATCATATGCTTCACATATATCTTACCATCTTCAGGGACTGATAATCCGGCAATCACCTTCGTTAAAAAAGAAGAGTTCGACAAGGTACACAGATATGTGTCGACTGTTCCATTATCAACCAGCATCAGGTGGCTCATTGTTTTTCCTATGCTAAAGATCTCCCTATCAGTCTTGTATTCAAAACAGCCAGTCTTGTTTCCCTGTGTCTGAAGACAAAAAACAACAACATGCATGATCAGAAGCAAAAGAGAGAAAAGTGATATCGTTCAGGAAATGCCCACTTGTCTTTTCTAACAGAGACGATTATCCAGTATATTTGACGTTATAAAGATGAAACAAAACAGAACACCCGGCGTGTTAAGCGTAGTCCACATCTGATGTCTACAGATCATGACCTGCATCACACTGAAATGATCACCGGAAATACACAACAGTAACGGTAAAAGTGGTCGTCTAAGGAGCATCACCCGCTACTATCAAAATGCTATCATTTTAGGTGTCAGATACCTCTTCCATGAGACCTTCTGTCCACGATGAACAACCGATTGAGGTGATCCTATCTTCAAATAATACTGCTTCTGCCTTAGCTTCCAGTATATACTCCGATATTCCCTCGTCTAAGCCATCAGAGAGTATCCACAAATCTGCGCAGAATTTACAGAGGAAGGATATATACAAAACTGAGAAATTAATTGAGACGAGTTTGTACATATGTAGGTCCTTTTGAGGGGTGGGGGTAGGGTGGGGTGGGGTGTATCTTGTTTTGGATCATGTTCAGAAAAAGAGTTCAAGGTCAGTATACTAGTTCCAGATGAATATAGTACACAGGTAACGAAGACGAGGAGCCATATAAACACATAGCATGGTTCACCGATGATAAAAGGCGTCGATGAGACCTGAACTCGTGACCAACATTAACACTTAAATTTAAGATTTAGACATGACATTGTAAGTTCAGATACAACAATAAGAGCGACAAAAAAAACCTGTCTGTGAATGGGGTCAGTGAATTCCGATCATTGTCAGTGAATTCCGAACACTATGCAGAGCAGCTCATCCCTTGCTATAACAACCAGGTGTTTTTTGCAATGAAATTAACAATAATTACCTGAAACTGTCGACAGTTTTTGAAACAGAAACGAGATTTCTCCTTTCATCTGATTCTCTATTTCTAGATCATCTGTTTGAGATCCAATCAGTGGTAAAATCCATTTCGGCTCGTTGATATTCCATACTTCAAAGAGCAGATGCTTAATATGTTTGAATGGAGTATCCTCATCTATTCTCACAAACTGCAAAATATTGATATCAGGATATATCTATGCATCTTCATTGAATTTGAGGCTTGACCAGAGTATTAGTTACCCCGGTGAGTAATTTTGTATGTTACGTAATGGCTTATAGTTTACTAGAACACTGTCTGGCTTCGCACCATGAACCAACATTACATTCCCAGAGCACATGGCACCAAACACACACCACGATGCCATGTGTCCCTTGCTTGACTACCATACAAAACCCAAGAAAAATACTTCAAAGGAATTTAACCCTCTCACAGTAATAAGGCATAGCACGGAACACAAACTGAGTAGTTGAACTAACATCTGTTGGGAATCCAGTGCATAATAGACATGGAAGTGTCTTCTGTAGTGCATCAAGCAAGAGGTCAATGACAGCCAAGCAAATGATGAAGAGAGAATCCGTGATCCATTCAAACATGAGTTAGTATGCTCTATAAATTTCAAACTTGACATTTTCAGTGGTGCAAAAAAAGGTTCACACCCATATCATGTTATGCAAGTCTTTGTTGAGGAAACGAAATGGCGGCAGTTAAGATACAACACATAAAACACCTACAGACAGGGGTTTCAGGCTCAATATTGAATGCATTGCCACAGAGTCAGATGGAAACAATCTGCATATAGTAACAATCATTTAAACCTGGTGTACTAGGCAGTTCAGTCTGATGCTGGAAAGTTATTATGATTGGTCTAAATTTGCCATTTGAAGGTTAAGGTACAGAAATTTATGTTCAACATAATGTAACGCCCATAAGCGTCCTGGGAGTACAGTTAAACTCAAAAATGTGTATACCTGTATTTCATGCCTTTCTTCGTCCTCATCGTCTCCTATCTCAGTGGTTCCAAAGGCTTCTGTGGCTGCTGTTTGTGTATTGACTTCCTTTTTCCATCTTACGTTTTCGTGGAACTGTACATGGTCCTCTTTGGATTTACCACACACACAGTCTTCCCCATAAGCTTCGCTTTGTAATAGATTTTAACCAAAGATGATGAACTCATAGTAAGGAAATTCATGGAGATTCATAATAAGGAAAACCAAATTTGGAAAATATCCAGAAGACAACATATTTTAGTTTGACTTGTGGCATTCATATTTGTTTTACCAAAATAAGCCCTAAATATACAATCATTATTCGGTGTGCATATCTGCCATACCGTTACAAGATGACTATGACAAGACAAAATACTAGTGTATAATGTAAGAAACCCTGTATTCGGATATTCAATAAATATACCTTCACATGTAGGCATATCTTTGACATATAATTTCACGTTTACTGACCTTTTGAAAATGCGGCATTCCCGTTGTTTAATGTTTGCCTTAATCCACAGCTTATGTTTTGAATACCAGTTATCATCACCCTGACGAGAGAGGTTGATAATGCCAGTGTTAGACTACGCCGATAACATTTTTTGTTGGTTACGCCGGCATGAAAAACAGCAAAATAAACAGACCTTTCAAATTATTTTGATATAGCCGATTCTAAAGGAATGAAAACAAGTACAAATTTGGGTTAACTTGATATGTCACTCAATATAGTTAACGTTGAAAATAGGGGTCACTACCACAATGGTTGAAGCAATGCAGGTAGTTGAGAGTCACGTCCCATCAATATGGTATATTCGAATGCGCATTCAGAAAAATGGAAAAATCATCTTCTGAGTTGCCTGGCCGTCACATTTTCGGAAATGATAATGAATAGGAGTACTAATGTCTAATACATCAATGAATTCTTGTAATAGGACAGCTCCAGTAGAAATATCACTCGCATCCACAGCCAATCTGAAAGTTGTTTTTTAAGTGTGCTTGGAGAGTATGAAGATCTCTCATGAGAATGGTTCAATATTCTCAAAAGCGGCAAGACAATGCTGTCTACAATGCCGACAACTAATTTCACGCATTTGCGGAGCAAACTAGAGAGCGTGGCTACCAGATGTGAGATATTTGGCCAAATTTTCTGTGAAACCAGCCATACACAGACATCTCGTTAGTTCCTTATTATTTTGGGGAGCTTGTAAGTTGGGATATGCTTCCGTCTTGCTTAAACAAGCTGTACCTAATCTTGAGCTTTGACATGACCAAATGTCGTCCATGTGCTTGTGACAATTCACATTTGGCAAAATTTACAGTGCCATTTTGAAGAAGGCACGGTAATCTTTTACCACAAGCATGGTTGACTGAGACCCGGAATTTCATGGGTCGTTTACGTATGTGTGTTCAAAAGGAGTAATGCAATGGAATATATTCGGAAGTGGTGTCTTCATGCCGGATGTACCGGGAGTAATTGGATCATTCTGTATATGCATGCCTGTATGTAATCACATCTGGGGCCTTCTTGACTTAGGGGTAACCCATGCTTGTCGCCATGCTGCTTGTCGTAAGAGGCGACTAACGGGATCGGGTGGTCATGCTCGGTGACTTGGCTGACACATGTCATCCCAATGACGTAGATCGATTATCGTACTGTTGATCACTGGATTGTCTGGTCCAGACTCGATTATTTATAGACCGTCGCCACATAGCTGGAATATTGCTGAGTGCGGCGTAACACTAATCTCACTCACTCTTAACTTATGAAAGCTTTTGTTTTGGCACATCATTACGCCAGAGACCGCATCCGTGTAGTGGTTAGAGCGTCCGCCCGGAGAGCGGAAGGTCGCGGGTTCGATCCCTGGCTGCGTCATACCAAAAGACGTTAACATATGGTACTTGTTGATCCCTGCCTGGCGCTCGGCATTAATAGGTACAACAAGGACTGGTCGACTCGAAGTCAGTATAATGTGTCTGAGTGGGGTATTCATGTTTCACTCGTGGTATCTCAGTGGGCTAGCACTATAAAACCAGCTTCAGTCTGGGCTAATACAAGCAGCCGCACATACACATGCACACGCATGCACGTCTCAAGGACGACGTTAAACCCAATTTTACCTCACCTTCTTACGCCAGAAAATCTTGAGTCTCGAGTATTCACTGGGCATGAAAGGCATAAGAAAATCAGCTTTGACACAAAATGTACTTAAAACATATCCACAATTTATAATGATGTTTCACACATGCTGAAACTTATACATGTTCGGGTATATCTGACCACACCTTGTTCCATGGTGTCGCACTTCCTTCAAGAAAAAAAAAACATGTTATATACACATCGATCAAACTTCAACAGTCATACTATGAAAGAGTGCTACCTATCAGTAACAGGGAGGTACGGAATGATCTCACTTGAACCCCAGTAAGCAAGTATGCAAGTGGAGAGCCGACACAAGAACACATTAAACCCTTGATCTGCCGATTTATTGTAGATAAAGGCAAATGTTGACAGAAAGACCCACCACCGATGATCAACACCTCACATGCTGATAAATGCAGTAAGCAGGGTGGCAACTGCTTTCCCGGTACTGTCAGCTAAAAGGCACAGACAGAACCGACACTCCGTACCTTTGAATGATTACAATAATCCAAGAATGTAACGAAACAATTATGCATTTTGTATACCATTATCGTGCCAAAGTTGTCATACTTGGATGAGTTTCTTTTGGGCGAGTGAATATGGTTTTAGCAATATTCCAGCAATATCAGGGGGGGGGGGGGGGACTCCAGAAATGAGCTTCACACATTGTACCCATGTGGGGAATCGAAACCGGGTCTTCGGCGTGACGAGCTAACGCTTTTTAACTGTGGTGTCAAAATGAAGGTCGTCACTACTGCAGTGTGATTTTTTAGCTTACAGGTAATTACCAATTACTTATTACATGTATTTGTGTCCTATTCTAGTGACATGCTGACAAATGTTGAACAAAGATAATTGGTCTGAGGTTTGGACTTACCTGTTGTTGATTCGAAATATCTTCTGTCGCCATTGCTTTACCCGTCAAGACCAAGAGCCATACCTGTCATGCGTGTAGATAGGATCTAGAGTGAATGGTCATTGAAGACTATAACAGTCTAACTTTGCGATTCTTCCTTCGTTGTCTGCGGTTATACGAGAATTGTGATGTAATCCTTTTTGTGGCTCAACATGTACAGACAATACTGACAGCTGTCACATCATAACGTAACATCTATGGATTGAATGCCATTGACAGTGGTAGCACCGCCGATCCTTTCAAGCGTTTAAGATATCCACTAGAGGGAAATTCCACTCACTCTTTACTGGGTCATATTTCAGTGCACATATAGACACGACTCTCAGGATCGGTGAAATCGACCTGAATAATTCAATCGCGGTAACTCTTTGTTACTGGTGTGACGCTTGACAACACTATCGCATGGTGAATTGCAGAGGACTTTGCGTGCGCTCATAATCACTGCATAATGAAATGTACTACTGCTAAAGGCAACAGACACTGTCGAGGCTACCACTTTGAATGATTGGTTCGTTCAAGCGCTTTTTCAATGTATCGTGTAAGAAATATCACTTGGTGGATCTCCAGAATGATTTTAAACGCTAATTTCCTAGCATTCTCTACTACAGCATGCATTAGGGGATATCAAAAGGTTCTAATTATCGCCATGAATATTTTTAGAAATTATGATGATAATTGAAGGTAAAATCAGTGATCCTTATCTAATACCAATAATGGACCAAGTACTATTTACTTCACTTTATTCCATCTTGTGCCTGTTTATCCCAGACACGAGTAACCCCAAGCATGGTGAAGATTGAAGCGTGCAGTGTTATCAAGTTGTTTTACTTGAAGGGTTACTGACAGAAGCTCAACGACACATCGCTATCGGCCATTTACAAGGATGTTCATAGCAGCATGATGTGGCATGGCACTTCAGCGTGTCCAGAGAGACCATCTCAAACCTGTGGACCCGATACAAAAATACCGGGAGTGTTAATGACAGACCCAGGTCAGGGCGACCTTGAGTTACCAACGCCGCCCAGGATCGCTACATCCGGTTGAGGCATTTTCGTTCAAACAGCCATGGCCGCTTCATCCCCAACAATCAAAATCCCTGGACTGCTCCGAATCTCCGACCAAACAGTGCGCAATTGGCTATGGAAAGCCAGACTTTTTGCCAGAAGACCAGTGCAACGTCACGTCGTTCCTCTACATCAACGTGATCTTTGGAGCATGACAATGCTCGACCTCACGTTGCACGTGTTTGACAGGTCTTCCTCCAGAAACACAACGTTCAGTTGTAACCATTGCCTTCTCGATCACCGGATTTCACCCCATTGAACATCTGTGGGATACTCTTGATCGACGCTTGCGCCAGCGTAATCCGCCACCTCAGACACTACAAGAACTGCACACAGCACTTCAGCAAGTGTATCAAAACAATACTCAAGACAACATTCGGCATCTCCTTTCTTCTATGGGTCACCGCTGCCAAGCCGTTATCGATGCTCATACCAGATACTGACATTTAACTCTGACCAAGTGGTTTTAATAGCCCTCTGTGGTTTTACCAAACACTTTCTGGATAATCATGTTTTGGGCATTTGTAAAGTGATGATTTTACTGTAACTGAGCAATGATCTCATGTTTGAATCAGTTATATGCACTCAGTAAGGAAACGTCAAAACAGCATGTGAAGTTTCTTTTTTTAAGAGTATATATTTATGGTGAAGACAGTCCATTTTATGATACAGTTGTGAGATGGAAAAAGAATGTTCACACCGGTCATATGTCCCTCACCGATGAGCCAGGAAGTAGACGCCGTTTTGGCGATACTACTGAGGTCATTCAAGAGGTGGGGGGTTGGTTTTCCATGATATCAGGGGTTCTATCCAGGCCGGCTGCGCAAGGTCAAGAAATGTTGGGAGAAATGTGTAACTCTGGATAGTGACTATGTAGAGAAGTCTTACTGACAAGAAATAAAACTAGAGTTTCAACTCTGAACACGTCCTGGTGATAACTGGAAATTTTGATACCCCTCGTAGCTGTCTCATTAGATCTGTTTGTGTTGTTATCCTTATAATTCCTTTTATTCATCTTTCCTACCTGGTCGTGACCTTTCGTTGATTCTTACCTGTAGGGGCTGTGTCTGTCTACGTATAAAGATTCCGAGTGACGGAAAATATCTCCAGAATTGGTAATACTTCATGTGGAGAATTATTCCGACAGCTCCAGCCTTTAGTGTTTGCATTTCCCAACGTTTGAGACACAATCAAGCATGCTCTTTTTATTAAGATTACAAAAAAGTTGTTCTATTGAGGGTACAAGATGCAAGGCCGCAGTAATACTTTCAAATGTTTAATGGACAACATGTATCATCACTATTTGAGTGATTGAGTTTACTTTTACGCCGCACTCAGCAATATTCCAGCTATATGGCGGCCATCACTATTTGAAAATGATTCATGAACACATGCTCCTTCACCCTATCTCATGGTGTCCCTCACTGGATTGTCTGCTCCAGACACCATTATTTACAGACTGCTGCACTATTGCTGAGTGTGCCTTGAAACACATGCTCTTTAATATAATCGGAACTGTACTGTTTATTCTGCTTTTAGTAGAGATTTCTTATGGATTTAGAAAGGGGTTTGTCGCGTTTTATTAACGTCTCTGAATAGTTTCTATGACATTAACCTAAAGGATTAATATTTAAGATACCTAGATACTTTTTACTTCAGTCTGTGCAAAACATACAGGTCATGTTCGCATGTTGCTTTACTCAATCTTATGTTAAGTGTTCGAACACTGGGCGATATCATTTTAGAAGCGCATATCATGATTACATAATATGCCATGCCGAGCACTCGACCTGGGAGGCACTCCGTGGATATCATTTACTGTTACTGAAGAGGGTTCAAGGTTTACCATGAAGAGTAGGACGAGATCTTACATAAATACACATCAACGCAAGATAATAACATGATCCACACAAAACATGGTATATTATGCAGCTGCATGAAAGAAATTTACGTCCATATATAGAACGTTACTTCCAAGAACAGTCCGTCCAGGCGAGACTGCGGTTTTCTACGAAACAATCAGTGAAGCAAGGCTGTTCATGTCGCCCTATCGTTCGATCGGCGGACTGTTACTATTTCTGTGTTTCTCCAGGTCAACGCCTATGTTCTGTGTGGAGCAGAATACGCTTACCATTTTACGAACACCTCCAATCAAACTGCTGTCCATGTCAAAGAGGAAACACAGGAATTGATTTTTATAAATAATTGAATTACAGATCCGGAACGCGACATGCCTTTTCGCATCTGTCCAATGCTTGATGCCTCGGCTGTAGCATTTCAGCCATGTCACGACGACCCCGTTCATGGTTGGCAGCATCAACGCGCACTGTCGTCTTACGATGTAATCAATCAAACCACTGACACGCCTGACTAGTCAATTTACAAGGTGATACAGTAAATTAGCTAAAATGTCCATGTAAAAGAATTCGGAGTGAAACCAACCATCAAAAGAAATATTAAAGAATTTACACTGCCATTATCAGCTTAACTATACGCATCAGTAAGTAATTATCAAGCACAAACGTTTCTTTACATGTGCTATACATCATTTGACCCTTTCTTAATGACGCCTAGTATAATATTATATGTTTAAAATTATATTTAAAAAATACTTAAACGCCATATGTTGCTGTATACACTTTGAAAACTAAATTCCGCTTAGAAAAGAGGTAAGTGTTACATTTTTACTCTGATTAATGCAAAAGTAAAGTTTAAATTTGTTAAAAATTCAGTCTGAGAGGAATACACAAAAGGTTAATATCACCAATTTCAGAAATTAAGGTCACCATGACTTCGCCATTAATCTGATAAACACTCAGTTAACAAAATATAATTATAAGGCAAACCACTGGCAACGACATCGGTACTTGGTGTGGCCACAAGCCATCCCTCACACGGATACCATCTGCCAGTTTCCTCTTCATACGACCAATATTTCCTAGGGTCGGAATCCGACCGCCTCCGTGGTGTAGTGTAGTGGTTAGAGCGTCCGCCCGGAGAGCGGAAGGTCGCGGGTTCGATCCCCGGCTGCGTCATACCAAAAGACGTTAAAATATGGTACTTGTTGGTCCCTGCCTGGCGTGCTTGGCGCTCGGCATTAATGGGTACAACAAGGACTGGTCGTCTCGGAGTCAGTATAATGTGTCTGAGTGGGGTCTTCATGTTTCACGTTAGATAACGACTTTCATCAGATCAGTGAATCCTACACCATGTCCTCAAGTTTTCGGTTCTTGAACCATGCGATATGTTCCCGCCTGTTCGTGTTTGTGAGGATGGGACGTCTGACTTTCCTTTGCCGGCCATTTATTAGCATGGGATTGCATCATGCCAGACGACTTAAGACTCGGTCATCACTGTCATTAGTTTTCGTTGGCCTCCCAGGTTTCGGGAATCCTTTGCTTCACCGTTGACCAGTTGCTTTATCACTAAAAACAGTGTGGTCAATTTTCAAGTTTGCCCCGATGTCACATCCCTGCGTCACTCATGCCATTAACATGCCATCGTAAGTCTACACATTGCCATCAATAATAGTATATGACACAGAAAACTAGACTCTAAATGGGATAGAGATGGGGAATTTCATACGTTTTGTTTTTCTTAAAATGCCTAGTACTTGTGTCTTCAGTTTCTATTTCGTGCTTGTTGACATTTGTGGCTGAACTCTCCAACGAGTGAAACTACAGCATCCAATACGACATTGGTGAACCCACCAGAAGCATGCCTCGATGAATCCGCATTTATCCTCCAAAACTGTGTTCCACGGTAGATATCGCTTGTGTGAGATCAGACGATATCTCCTAGGAGACATCGTTTTGACAGTAGATTTTGTACAATGCCCTGACAATGCTATGACGTCATGAACATGTTGACGTCACAATGTTATGACATCGCTGCACTGCAAATCTAATGGCAGTACTGTATTCAGAGATGTACATTTTTCATTGAAAACTAATGAAGAGTGATTTTTGATGATAAATAGAATCTCACCCTCGTGTCTTCTGATATCAAATATGTCAACACTCGTTGATAAAAGTAAAAATATCCTCGGCAAGCCTCAGATATTTGTTACTTTATCAACTCGTGGTGATATATTTGATATCAAAAGACACTCGGGTGAGATTCTCTATATGTCAACAGAAGTGATTCCACTTGATATTTGTGACGTCGGCTTCAAAATCAAATTTCGAATTTGCCCAGATCTCTTAACGACCTACTGCGTCATCAGACCAATCATTAAAACCAGCGCCTTGAGCATGTACTAGTTGCGTGGATATGTGCGCTATATAAATATCCTATAAAAACCATTAGTACCGATCGTCTACTCCCCAGTATATATGATCATAGTACTTCCATATTGATCAGAAGACTTGATGATCCTAACTACCCCATACGCTTTGGCAGAGTTTAGTTGATATTATTGGATAATAATAGTTGACTTAACACATTGTCAGGTTTCTAATCTACAGGATGCAAATATGTCAGACTATTTTGTTTCGTCATTTCAAAGTTACTTTCCAAAACAAATTACACATTAGCTCCAATACCATATTGCTTTAACAAACACTTACCTGATGGGACTGTACATCTGTGAACGCGACAGGCTAACACAACTGCATTCAAAAGAGGAGCGATTACATCAGAGATGAATTCTGTGACAACAGCCACTGCAACATTTACCGCACCTAAGATATCAGTTATCAGTGGACCAAAAACAGTGTAAATGCACCACTACTCACACTTTCATAGAACAAGGCGAGTGTAAAATATTAATTGCATTTGTATGCAGGGTTGAATCTTAAATTCGTCACTACATTGATCTACATTGATAGCTAACTGACTTGAAAACCTAATGTGTTCTATGAATATTCCACGACTTAAGCTAACTTTGAATGAAACGTTAGCTCATGTAATTTGCCATCTGTGTAAAAGACATTCAAAGTCAGTTTAAACATTTGACTTGTTAATGGATTTCCTGGCAGTACAGACTTGATGTGTCAGCATGTAGATGTAGGGGACAACACAACGTCCCAAACCATTGATTCCTTTGAAAGCCTGAGAGCCTGAAAGCTTTGAATAGTTGTTAAGTCATTAACATTACTGAACCACGTCATAGCAATTAGATTTCAATTTGTGTTTTTGTGCCCAAGCCTGGTGGCAGTTAAAGATACTCTACACACAAGAAACGGATGAACGCCCTTTCTAAACCTTACTCTCCCCAAATATAGAGGGGGCGGTGGGGTAGCCTAGTGGCTATAGCGTTCGCTCGTCACGAAGACCCGGGTCTGATTCGACACATGGGTAGAATAAGTGAAGCCCATTCCTGGTGTCCCCGCCGTGATATTGCGGGAATATTGGTAAAGGCGGCTTAAAACCATACTCACTCACTTACTCCTAACAAAGAGAATCGATGACTGCACCAACAAAATCAGTTAAGTCAGATTCATCAGTAAGTTTGACCTGAAGAAAGGGTATTACCCGAGTTTCAGACTAAGGATTTTAAGAGGGCCTCAGCTTTTGTCAGATGTATAGATACAAAGGTATGCCTTCCGGGCTGAAGAAAGCCCCAGTCAGTTGCCACCAGCCTCATCAATGACAGTACATTGCATAAGGTAGACATACTCGCTACTAACCGTATGAACGTGCTTGGGTACCCCCTCTTGTGCGGTGTCTCATTTGCGTATGCTGTTCTTGCGGTTTGTCTGTCCTTGCAATGATATTTATCGACAGAAGTATAAATTTAACTCTGATTCTCTTTCTTGCTTGCCTGTCACGATAACTTTGCCTTTCGGTATATATGTCTTGATCATCTCAAGGCTTCTCTCACATTTAATCAAGACAAGCAGTTGTGTGAAGATCACATTTCACCCTGGATTCTGCCAGTGAATTTGTCATCTTGCGTTACCGTTGTTTTCCTTAGAGCTTTGATGCAACCAACAAAGTAGACATAATTAAAACACAATTATCATTTATTCATGACATATAATATACATTGCTGATTATGAAAACAAATAAACAAAATTACAAGCGTACAATCGCAAATCAAAAGTGGAATATTTTGTACTTGGATTTACTACCCTCGAAATGAAGCGCCCGGGATACCGAACCCAGTCATGGCGGGTGGGCGTGCACTTAAGTGTTACGAAGACGTTCATTGGCTGGTTCATCAGCCGATCATTGTGTGTGTACAGGCATCCCGGTTCAAGCCGCGCGAACCTATTCACTGCGCATGCACTATATATATATATATATGTGGGCACCGCAGCACAGCTGTACAAACCACTTTTCACCCCAGCTGGGTTTTTCTAGTGAATCGTATCGCGGGATTTTTTTCATCTCGTTATTTTCATCTTTATAAGTTGACTTTGCAGTTTTTGATAATTTGTTACTGTAAGTCCATACCGAAAGGTATCAGAATCTGGAAAGTTGTGTTTTGCGTTGCATGTAAGTTTTAGTGTTTGGATTTAGAGCTATATAAATTTTCAGAATTATCATTATTATTATTACAGTGTTCTACATTGATTTCTAAACTTAGATAATTTCAGAATGCAATTGTCAATTGTATAATATTTCTTTGGTGTTTGTTGGTATCACAAATTCCTTTAGGAACAGATTTCTGGTTTTGTTTCTGCTCAACTCCTTGTGATCCTTATGTAAAGGTATAATTTTACACCAACAACCTGATATTGTAATCTAATACCGCTGTATAAAGATATTGTAACATACAGCCCTAATTATCTTTTCTCACATTGGCCTCGGGTTAATTCCGGTGGTGTTTACATTCGACGAGTTTTCCCTGTCGGTATATGGGCAGTGAGTTTCATTGCATTTATCCTCAGTCTTTGGATTGTGAGACGTTATTCCGTTTGAATGACATTCAAAAACTACTCAGTGTTGTGTACACTCGAATGCATATCCTTTTTACCTGATAGAAGTTATATTTAACTGTCGTTTTGTCAGAGCTATTGCTTCGGAAATGTTATCCATGGAGGCGGCTATATTTGATGAAGACGTCATGAGTTTATGTGCACACAGTTCGATGACAAAATTACTTTTGCAAATTCTGTATTTTAAGCGTCAAAAGACATTTCCACAGTTATATTGAGTCCCATGACGCTCTACATGTACTAATACTTCACCAATAATAAATTAATATGTTTTGCTTGTTTATTGTAAACAAATTACGTCATGGGGATTGTGACGTAGTTCTTGTCAGTTGACAGTTGACAGTTCTAGATTTATTGAGGTGGATGCAAGTCGCTCTTTTTCCGTATATATTTTCATCGGTACCCATCGAGAACAATACTATGTAAGTATACTACATCCAAGCTTTGCTTGAAACAGAACCTACTTTTAGAGAAGTTTGTTCTGGTTTGTATAATATTTGACATTACTGATTTTGATAAATGTATATGTAATAAATTCTTGTTAATTGTTTCAACTACATGTTTTAGTTATTTCTTCATTGGTAAAACTGTAATTAACAGGGCTAAAGTGAGAGTGGTCCACAGAACCGACATGCTACTTAAATGAATTTATTTTTCTCATTTTACCCCCCACCACCCCCTGAACCGTTACAATATGTTCAGTGTTATAATATTCCTTCTGAGTGTTTTACTTGTCACTCATGACTGGTATGCGATATGTTCTATGTTTATCAACATCCATTTGCAGTGTAGTAAATGATACTACGCTTTGTTGAGCCCAACGTTGAGTGGGGCCTATATATCGTGACAGACACCCATGGTCTAATCTCGCTAAACACGCACTTCAGAGTAGCTCAACCATACGATAGTTGCTTGAGGCAAGGGGTCGTGTCAGGGGCGAAATCGTAAATACGAATTTAAGTGTAGACATTGGAGGAGGCATTGGTAGCTAAATACATATTCGTATGTCTCTTTTCCATTTCCAACACAGCAATAATAGCAGCGGTGAAAACAAGATAAATACCATATTATATAAAATATGTGTACAGTATACAATAGCCTTCATTTAAAACAATATTACACGGCACATGTTTGGTACAATAACTTTACATCTACAATTGTCAAATAGTCACATTCACACTTGAACATGTTGTTCTGCTGGTTGTCTGTCATGAATTGGCGGTTGGCGGCATGCCGGGAGATGTCTTGCTACCTATGTTTTCTATTCCTTACATCACAACTGTATAACAGTGATTTATGACTTAGGCTGACGAAGAGGTTTAGATTAAAGTGGCTTGGATAACGAAAGTTGAAGCAATGTGCAATCCTATACACACTTGAAAGGTCACCCTAAGGTATTCTAGACGATTATAACGAGTAAACTCAGTCAAACGTGAAAGGGAGCGACAGTCACTATGAAAGGGGACATTGCCACGCCTAGCATATGAATTCAACTCATGAGACCTGTGCATGTATACATACCCGCTCTCATAGGATAATGGGGTCAGTTGACAATGCCGCATTCAAGCGTAGATCGTAAATTGTGTACAGGTTCAGGGCAAGATTTTCTGTCTAACCATACACCTCTTCCCAACAAACCAGTCACTGATCAATAGGACACGAACTGGATTTACCTGAGTGTTTCATTGAGACACTGTCACTAGGAATCTAACATAACACGTGTACATGTAGGTAAGTCGTTGCTTCCTCTAGACGATCCTTTGGCTTGGTCATGCGCGTAACAAATAATATAATCGTCATTTTCATATGTATTACCCGCTGACGTTTGTTATCTGTCTTATAGTTCTCTCTTGTTTCTCCCTTTACTTTGTCTTGAGTTTACCAGTACCTGATGGGTATGTTACACCAGGGTGTAATGTTTATTGGCTTTTATCACCTCTCTGGACACACATACACGTTATACCATATCTTTGCATAGGGTATATACAACATCAACGAATCTGATTTCACTCTTGTAACGAACGTACCTGACGAAGGATGAAATTTGTAAGCAGTATAGATAACACGGATGCTATGCTAAGATTAGTAATTCAGGATTAACTGGCGATAACAGGTGCAGCTTATGTCATATGACATGTCAGTTTAAAAGCCTAGTGCTCTGTGACGTCAGCCAACAGGAAGCAAGTATTGCTGGAGTCCATGTTAGCTCCTCACACTGAAACATCGTCTTTACAAACTGGGTAACTAAATATTGTGATGTTTATAAGAGAGAGAGAGAGAGAGAGAGAGAGAGAGAGAGAGACAGAGAGAGACAGAGAGAGAGAGAGAGAGAGAGGAGAGAGACAGAGAGAGAGAGAGAGAGAGAGAGAGAGGAGAGAGAAGGGGAGAGAGGGGGGGAGCGGTTCGTGTGAATGTGTGTTTATGCTTCTGTGTGTGTACGTGTGCGTTTGTTTGTTAATGCGTCTGTGTGATTAATAGGATACATATGGATCTTTGAAAATCCTTTCATTTGTTATCACTAAACTACTATTCACCAACATACGCTGTAGGAATACCAACCATCAAGGAGATCACATTTTCACAGTTATATCCCATGAAACAGCTTGCTTTATCACCGCTGACACATCAATGTGTTCACTGGTTGTGAGAGGCAGACACGTACTAAGCTTACTTTACACGATACTACCTTACTGGACTAACGCTCAGTCACTTATCAATGAATCGATACCATTCACAATTGAACGCAATGAAAAATCCTAATAATCCATCAATGAATGTATTCTTAACATCACCGGGAAACCCAGTTGATTGATTTCATATATGTACAGTTCTTAAACCACATAGATATATCTAGCAGTCGGATAGGTGCTAATGCACTTCACTTGACACACTGCCTCTGTGTGTACATGGGTTATGTACATGGGCCGAGCATGGTAACATTGAACCTGCCTGGCACAGTTTCTGTGGTCATGTTTCATAGAATCGTTGTAAGTTGGTGGACATAAGGAGGTACGACTGTACTGACAGTACACGTGCTCACGGAATCGGCACGGGAATGACTGGAAGGAATAGCAGCGAGGTCCTGAAGTGAAGAAAAGTAGAACGTGTGTGGACAATAACACCACAAGACAAAGTCGGATGAAAATGAGGTGATTTACATCAGGCCTTGGTGTAGCCTCTTTAAGATTCATCTTAGAACAGGGTGTGATGAAGAGGAACAGGTTATATGGATTGACAAGTACTGTATTGCATTACAAGGCATTGGTATGTTGAATAGAACCCACGATTAACCGTTTAATAAATATTTGAAGAGTTACTCAGCGCATGACCCTCTTGTCCCGACAGCTAAATCATTCACTCACGCCAGTGTTAGTGGTTCTACTGTTTGCATTTCTTTTGATGTATTTTCTGCATTTTTTCCATACTCGTAGCTTGTCATTAATGGCGTCAACATTTACTTTGTACGAGATTTAATAAGTTTTTACTTACTTACTTTTTTGCAATACGTAATTTGATATGTTGTAACCTTTCTCTAGGAAGGCGAACGTTGTGGAGTGTTGTAGGGTGAGCCAGTATGGTGGTTGTGTATCGCGTCTTACAAAGGTCTATCTACATATACTATATGAAAGCGTGTAAGTGTCATGGGGGAAGAAAGCCCGAGGTGATGCAGGTTTTAGACGGATACAAATTATGTTAAATCCACAAACACGGCTCGGGTCCGGACAACACCAAAGACATTACAAGGTAAAATCTGGTTTATCCAAACCCGCAATTATAGGTTTTACTACACATAATGGACACAATAGATGTGGTTCGTTCATCCTCAAAAACCTAAAGCCTGCGTGGGGATGTCATAGATTTCTACAGCTCACCAGCAATATTTAAGAGACATATGAATGGATTTAAAACGCATGGCTCGTTGATACTAAAGCTTCAGTGGATATCACTGTACGTCATGTGTTGTGTCATTGTGCTGGTAGGTGTTCACGCAGTGGGGCGTTATGACATTAGGTGTCATCCACGACACATGTAGACAAATTTCTTTATACGATCCCTACATAGACAATGAACATATCTTACATATCACAATCGGCCAATGCATTAGAAGTACCTGTTGCCCTATATCCCTCTCAAATAGGAAATATGTTTCAATACATTTAAAACGTTCGGGTTGATATGATATAGTATACCAGGTTGTCTTGGACAGACACACACACATGTTTCAAATGAATGAAAATAAATGTACACTTCAAATGAAAATGCACGTGACTCAAGATGATTATGTTTATAGATAGATCGTCTTTATTTCCTCCAAAATTGAAGATACATATGCATGATTTAGCAGATATTACATTTTACAAGGTACAAGTGTATGAAAGTTATACAATACAAAAACATTTAAAGATATGTATATATGGGGGGATGTAAATCTAGTAACATGTGATGAAACACCGTTTCCATTCATGAACAGCTTTACTCGTGATTTTCATACATTGAATCCATAGATCAGTATCAAGATCTCTAATGTTGTCATTTTGCACTCCTCCAAGTAGAAAACTAATCAGTGCATCATCATCATCATTCCAAACACTTACAAAGGTTGTAACATCCAATAGATCAATGAGGGAGCTAAGTAGGCGCTCTCTGTTACATTCCGTTTGTGGACAAAAGAGAAATACATGTTTTACAATGTCATAAGCATATGTGCCACATAAGCATCCTTTAGATTGTGTAGCGAAAGTGCCGACACGGATAAGGTAGGATATGTCATAGAAATAATCTGAATCATTAAGAGCTATTAACCAAAGTTTGTTACTAGCAGCTGGATTGCGTAGGGGAGCGTATCTGTGGAGATTGACTCTGTAGTTAAGCTCAGAGGTAACGACATTTGCTTCAAATTTTGAGACTTTATCTCTTACAAGATTTGACCATTGATTTTTGGTAACAAATACAGATGAGTTACGATAAATGTCAACATATTCAGTAAGATCATATTTACAGGTAAGATATAACATATGGTGTAAAGGAGAGGATTTACACTTCAGCATGTTTTGCATACTATCCTTACAATCATGTTGAGCTAATCTATAGTGAAGAATTCGTTTGAAAATGAAACTAATATCAGTGTTAAGCAGTCTTCCCAGGAACAATAATGCTCTCTGATCAATATACGCACGTAGTGATACAAGTCCAAGACAGTCTCTGGCAATGACCGAGCACGTGCGTTTAGAGAACCCTTGTACTTTTTTACAGAAGTACTTTTGCACACATTCAAGCATATCGTATTCTTTAGTTGATATGTTACACCACATATTACAGGCAAATAGACCACAGGGTAGTACAATACGTTCCCATATGCGTACAGCATGCATAGGGTGAAGACCACCAAAATACAATCCATGACTGTGGTTAACATTGACTAGCTTTCTAAGCTTTTCACATACTAAAACAGTACGATTAAGGGTAGATTTAGCGGTGTTTATGTACAGGCCCGCATATACGACATCGGTTTTGCAGTTAATAACATGATCACCCAAAAATAGCTCTGGGCATTCGTGTTTATGATAATCACCAAACAGAAGGAAGGCACTTTTACCAGCATTAAACCTAAGGTGACATGTTTTTGCATAATCAGATATAACATTCAATAAACATTGAAGACCATCGGGTGTACAACTTAATAGGGTTGTATCATCTGCAAGTAGGATACCAGGGGGTAGTGGCCCAGGGCAGGTTTAAGCCTCTTCCTGAGTTATCAGCAGCATTTAACAGATCGTTAATGTACAGTGTAAACAACCAAGCCGATAGGACCCGTCCTTGCCCAACACCCTGACGTATTTCAAAGGTATCCGAAATATGTCCGCCAATGCTAATACGTGATTTCATTGATGAAGAAAGTATGTACAGTGAAGCCTCGTTAATCCGGACGGTTGCGTTTCTCAGTAAATTCGTCCGGATTGCGAATAGTCCGGACTACTGAATCAAAACCCATGTTGCTTCCCTAAGAATTACAAAAACGACACGCCGGGCGGTGTTGCTACGGTTCGTGAACACGACTTACAGCGTCCGGACTGTGAAGCAATTTACTGTTTATTTTACTGATTGGTTACAGCTACTTACCGTCCGGTTCCGGAAACCGAATTTCCGGATTATCGAGGCAAATTATATAGGCATAGATTGGTAACAAGCTGAAATCGCCCGGGAGGCGAGACATCCGGATTATCGGAGTCCGGACTAGCGGGGCTTCACTGTATAGAAGTCTCCACATTTTACCTTTAATTCCAAAGTTGTGCAGTTTTAGGAAAAGACCATTAAGCCAAACCCGGTCGAATGCTTTTTCATTATCGACAAATGCACACTATACTGGCGTTTTTCTTTCATTGTAGTAAGCAATAGTTTCTTGGAGCGTAAATAATGCGGTCTCTGCTCCAGTACCTTTTCTAAAACCAAACTGAAAAGGGTGAGGAAAATTCTTTACTTCTGTTGCCCAGCTTTCGATTCTATTCAAAAGCAATCTTTCAAAAGTTTACCTAAAACTGGAGTAAGTGTGATGCCTCTGTAATTAGAAGGGTTATCCTTACTTTTACCATGGTCTTTGTGGATTGGAAGTATATTCCCCACACTAAACAACTTAGGAACATATTCATAAGAAACAATATCATTATAAAACGTAAGAAGGTGGTTGATGAGTGATCTTCCACTAAATTTAACATGCTCATTTACAATATGATCCGGGCCTGGGGATTTACCCGTCTTCAATGATTTTACAGTTTTCAATAGTTCATCACCAGTAAATGGACATAAAAGATTCATACTGGTGTCATTACAGTCATCAACGTCTTGTCTTGTGACAAGATCTTCAATAAAACTATAAACAAAACAGGTAAAATCTTGATCAAAATTGATATCTTCATACGGCTGGGAGAGATCCCTAAAGTACTTAGCAAATAGGTTACAGATACTTTCTGGAGTGTCACAGGTCTCGTTCTCGTACACAAGGGTTTTAACTCGTTCTTTATTGCGTTTGTACTTTTTGTAACCCTGGTATATTCCTGAATATCAACTTCGGCTGCTTCCATAGATGTCCCTGAACTTTTTATCTTGAAGTTTACGTTTTGATCGGCGATGTTTTTTTTGAAAGATTCTCTTAGCCTGCTTATATTTTACGTAGTGAACATCGTCCTTATTTCGTGGCTTACCCATATGGACCCATTCTTTACGTGCGTGTCGCATATCGATATGACATGGCTTTAAATTATCCCTCTTCCAGTAGGGTTTTAAATGGGATTGAAATTTTGAAGCAGGAATACTGATATTGGCTGAAGCATGTAATGAATCAAGGATGAAATTATGGTAGGCTTCAATATACTCCTCTGGTGTGTTGTAATCAGCTATATCTAAACTGACATTTCTGAAATAATTTTCAGTCTCATAGCGATAAAGCATCAGATCAATGCTGTTGGCCTTTCGCCAGTTTAACTTTTCACCCCCATAGTGATATTGACGTACAACATCAGTTACATGCATACAAATAAGTATAGGGTAGTGATCTGAGACAGAGTACGGGATGGAATAGTCAATATCATAGCCAACAATGCTACTTCTACAATCAGTGTTAACAAAAACATAATCGATCATAGTTTTAACCTGTCTACATTTACTAGTGTAGGTGTAAGCATTTTGATTGTCCAGTGGTACAATCGAGATCAGGTCACGTTCCTTCAAAGCTCTCTGCAAACACTTAGCTCGAGGTTTTAATGCTGAGAGAGTCCGAAGGTCAGTATTAAAATCACCAAGTACTACAGTTTGTCAATGATATGAGCAGGTATCGTATACATCCATAGCATTATGGAGTTCTTCTGCGTAGACAGTGTCCATGACATTAGACGATGGAACAAAGATAGACTTTTCCCAATACCTTTACTCCCAGTGCATTCTGTTTTGACAAATAATAGAGACTGGTCTTTGACTGGTTGAAGTAACATGTTGTTCCTACATGCAAACATGTATACAGGATGACCAGTGTTCTTGTATGCCGTATGTCTCACACCATGAACCAGGATTATCACTACTAGAATTATTGTCTGTAACATTGCTGACAAATATCATTCACTCACATAATTGTATTGCTATTTTGATTTGTGTGTTATCAATATTAGTTTTATTAAAATTGTAAGGACACCTTTCTCCTTATTCTGCGATATTGACCACCTGGTCATCGATGTCTTCCCTATTACAATACCTGTGTGTATTTACAGGTGACCGATGCTGTAGCTGAAATGACAACGCCGCCAGCCAAACAGCATGGGGGTAGGTGATTATGTCATCTACTACTAACACCACCACCACCACCACCACTACTACTACTACTACTACAACTACTACTACTACTACTACTACTACTTTACTACTACTACTACACTTTTACTACCTCTCATACTATTTCCACTACTTTTATTTCCACTACAACTTCTACTTCTACTACTACTATTACTACTACTGCTACTACTACTACTAATATTACAACTAATTCTCTTCCTCCTTTTACTATTACTACTACCACTACTCCTCCTTCTTCTACTACTTCGCCGCCAATAGCTTCAAAATTGCTGATGTGGCGTTCAGCAATACTCACTCACTCACTCTTCTACTTCTGCTACAACTACTACCACTACTTTTGCATCTGTTCTCTGTAGGCGTTCGACATGTTATTGTTCCTTTCGTTCAACTGACGTATCTAAGCACATCTTATCAATGTGAATCAAACTGAAACTTACGAATCGTACAAGGCTCACACCTGTCTTTCATGACTCCATTTCTTTCAGGAGTCTCTGAATGGGCCAAACGACCAGCTGGCATGAACGGTACGAACGGCTTAATCAGCATTGAAAATGTATTAAAGTTAATTATTTACAATCTAAACAATTTCTATAATATCCAACGGCGATTTATTTCTTTTGCTTTACATATATTGTAAACTACAACCTTTTGAAATATAAATATTGCCTTAGCAACGACATATGCCGTAATATCATCCAGCCTTATTTCTTTATAATTGCATTTTGTCACCTTTAACCCTGATTGTCATGAGAGTACATAAGTTCTTCGTTGCTGCCAGATTCTCCCACTGGCGTCGACCCAAGCGAATCTGATGCACCAGAAGTGGTATGTTTGCTTATAAGTAACAATCATATTTTAGAGAGTAGGATACAAGGATACAAAACATCGGAGGAGAACATTTAATATGACGGGTCTGTCACTTTACGAAGCGACCGCCTCCGTGGTTTAGTGGTTGGAGCGTCCGCCCGGAAGTTCACGGTTCGATCCACGGCCGCGTCATACCATAAGACATTAAAATGTGGTACGTGTTGGTCCCTGCCTGGTGCTCGACATACATGGGTACAATACGGACTGGTCGGCTCGGAGCCAGTATAATGTGTCTGAGTGGGGTATTCATGCTTAACTGCGGCATGGTATCTCAGTGGGCTAGCACTATAAAACCAGCCTAAGTCTGGGCTAGTACAAACAGCAACACATACACAGACGCTAACCCGTTGTCTTATGAGCGAAATATTCTTAAGTGCGACGTTAAAGCCCATTTCACCTCACCTTACTCTTCAGCAATCGGAGGATCATTTAGTAAGACTGTTGACTGGCACATGTCATAGTATCCCGATTATGTACATCGGTGCTCATGATGTCAGTCACTAGCCTGCTTTGCATTCGTTTAAGTACCGCCGGCATATAGCTAAAATACAATATTCTGTAGTCGAACAATACATTATGACACAATGTACAATAAGGTGATGTAATTTCATATGCTTGACTTGTATCTGGTCACACTGAGCCCCGTTAACATTGTAAAGGACCTGACGGACTCTTCACCAGCAGTATGTCCATAATCCTTCAAAATTCATCATCACGCTATATAATACTTTTACTAGTCTAAGTCGGTCTAATTATACACTCACATATGATGGCGGTGTGTGGTCCTGTGCATAGAGCTCAGGTCACAAATCATTTTGACGTTAAGCAACGTTGGGCGCGGAGAGTCCTAGGATGGGTGACTGTGTTTGGCAGCTTGACTCCTGAGAGTTTCTGGGACTTCAGTCCTGCTCCACAACGAAACACATGCGATACATGTGGTCTCACTTTAGGCAAGTGAATTTATTCAAAATTGCCTCTGTTCACTCAGCAGAAAATGGGTACCGGGTGGGATAAGTATGTGACTGTTAACCTTCTAGCATCTCACAGGCAGTTTGGGTTATCCGCGGTGTTAATAATAATAATCAGATTGTGCGCTTTGAGCAGGATATGAAGCCTGGAAAGGAAAGGTTATTCTTAACTAAGTAATATGGTATTATTGATGAACAATGATGCACATGATGTGGTAATGAAACAAAATATCCCATTGATTTAAATAAGCTCAGAGACGTCTACAAATATACTTATGCACTTTGATGAACACATGTTTCAGGAACCATGGTACAAGAAACACGACGCCTGGATTCAAGAACATATCAAACAGAGAAAATGTTTTATGTTTTCCAAGTATGTGCTAAGACAGTATGTCTCATTAAGGACCGTTTAATATCGTAAGTGATACGATTTGATAGATGACTTTAAGGGCTAGATTTGTGTTATTTTTAGACATTACTTCATGAGGACCGTTTTAAGTGTAGTCATTAAACACACGTTGATCAAACAGTAAGTAACTGTGAATGACTACATCTTCGTTCTGGATGTGCCTGGTTTTTGTCTATTTGTTTCTTTATATGAGTCTCTAAGTTATTTTATGACAACTCATCGCAGTTTGGGTGTTCTGAGATGCTTCTACATCCAAACTAAACTATGATGTATGTGTTTGTTTCTGAAGGTTGTCTGACAACGTGTGTTTATGCGGCCATTACAAAGACGACCACACAGACAAGAATGACAGCCCGAAATGGAAGAAGGAAGTCAACACAAAATCAACATCGACTGAAAACTATGGAACAATCTATGTTAAAACGGACTCGGGTCAAGACATCATGAACGAACCCGCTGACGAAGAAGACTCAGAGCAAGAGGAGCCAGAGAAGCCACACGCCGTGCAGGTAAAATATACTTGAGAAGGGATGATCTAAAGATACTTGCATAAATGTATCGCACATCCTATTAGTTGAATTTTGTGTCTTAATGCGAATGAACAAGTCAGCTTTTTTATTGCAGTTTATACGCACTGATGAAGACATTTCAATGGATTATGTAAAATATCTGCTGTTCGAAATATGGCACCTCACCCGGCCAAAATGGATATTTGCCTTGATTGGCTCCAAACCCGAAACTACGGATTTCAACATGGAGTATGAACTTGAAAGTGCTCTGGACACGTTACTGGGAGCATCAGGTTTGTTAGGCGGATTTGTATAGCGTGTGGAATTGGGTATCATACCAGCCCTATGATATTTATCAGAATGACTGAAGTATTATTGAATGCATGAATCGTAAATGTACATGTGTTAATGTAAATTCCAATAGAAATATCACCGTTATAGGAAATGATGCTATGTAAGTATAAAGTGAATCGTGGCTTCACAACGGTTATCCTTCAGTCGTTCTTCTAACACCTGTTGTCTGTTTTTCAGCAATCCATTCATGTAAATTTCACAGCCATTTCCCCTTTACACCAAACGAAACATGTTTCCGAGGAGGGTGAAGACTACGTATTCTTTTGCACTGATATTCTATATTTCTAACGTAGATATATGGATAATCTCTGACGGGTTACATAATGGTGTCGCCGAATTCATCTCTGACCTAAGCGAAGACAACGAGCGTGTTACCTCTATCGGATGTAATGCTTGGGGGAGTTTTGGAGACGTCTTGGGGGAGATGCAGGTATTGTCAACATCAATTGAATGACTTAAAGCACACACAGTAAAGTTTCAAAGAATATGAAATATACACATTTGACTCAACTCAATTTATATTTAACTGTGTATGCAATAGTTTTCAAGCATTATATTATTACGCTTTGAACATTTCATTTTCATAAACATGTTTTTATCTGATTGGTGCAGGGAAACCAAGTCATTTGTCAGTATTTTACTATGTTAATATGAAATATGGTAAAGATTTTATTTTAGGTGTGAAATCCAATCATTGTTGAAAGCTGCAGCTGTAATGGCTACACGGTATTTATCGTTCTTGTATCTTCTTCCAGTTCCTGTAAAACATGGTACATACCTGGATAGATCTCTACACCCGTATATCAAGAAAACGTTTAACTCATATTCAAATACAAATCTGTACGCACTGACATGGTCCGTTCTATATCCGTATGCTAGGTGGACGAGAAAGGTCACAGACACGTTGGTTATTTGCTCAAAGATGATCTGGATGACCAAACAGGGGTGCCACAGTTCGGGAAGACCACAAGCCATTTCTTACTGGCAGATAATGGAACAAGGGAAGCCTACCTTTGTGATCTCTCTAACGTATCATTTCAAGCACGACTAATTGCTGATCTTGCAGCAGGGAGTAACGGTAAGGCGGATGATTTCACCAGTCACAATATTCTGTTGCAATTATATATATAATGCTAAATCCAATCTTTGTCACTGGTATTGTTTTCAATCAACATATTGGTTTATGCAAATCGAGGATCATAATCGTGACGATTTTGGAATTTGAACACAGATATCCTGGAATGGATGAGTACAACTATACATAGCCAACTGAGCTGTACCTTGTATACTTGTTGAAAGTCTATCAGAGTTTTTCAATTAGATTCCAGTGCGATTCCTACAGTGGCAATCCTCCATGGTGGACACCTCATACATCTTGAAGGAGTCAGAAATCTCATGAAGGACAATGTCCCAATTGTCATTCCCAAGGTATTTGATGCTATTTCTTGAAATCTATTAGCTTATTATTACAGCTATAGTATCAGAACAAACCTTGAAGTCCAAGACCCCGAAGGTGACTTTTGTACCTAGAGTGAACACAAGGTTTGAACATGTATTCTGACGGAAAAGTGTCGCACGAATATCAGAAAGGTACATTTGCAACTCAGTGTTAATATCTTATGGAGAAAGAAAAACAGTAAGTGCCAATTTGTAAATCAGTTAAAGGGAGATAACACGCTGAATGTGACTTTTCAAAAAGAGGCATGAATTGTTTTGATTTGTAAAACTGAATGTATTTTATTGGTGTGGCTGATTTTAAATCAGAATACATATTCAAACCGTTCGACCTCTCTCGATACAAAAATCGCCTGTGTGTCTGGGGTCAAGGTTTCTATGATGGGTGCAAAATAATATGTTCAGGCATCACTAGACATCACAGGCACCCTCCGTTTGTCATAAATGATAACTGACAGGTGCGACGTACCGTACCCGGATCCATCCGAAACACCCATGGCGTCATATCTCTTTCTACATCACGGTGCAAGCCCTCATGTTGACTTCAAATGCTGTTTCAAAATGAATAGATGTCGTCATCATCTTTCATGACAAATGTATTGGAAGGCATATTTAATACTCTTTATCTTGGAAAACATAAATAAGGAAGACAAACCTGTCGTAACGTTTAATGTAATTAAAGTTGATCCGATAGTTAGTTGCATTTTTATAGCAACGTTGAGACAAAATGCACATTCTTCACATTACAACAAATTTTTGCAGAACTCAGGAGGATTAGCGGATGTGTTGTCATCTGCCTATGAAGAATCCAAAGCAGTGTACAGCAGCAAAACAGAAAATAGCAAGCATGAAGGGTATATATACTCTTTAAAGTTTTTTAGCCACAACTTGTGTAGTAACTTGAGTTATTAAACGTTGTGCTTTCTGGCATGTACGATACTGTGGGAGAACAGCCAAGACAATGTCGACGAGCATTTACTTTGATCAGGTTTTTCGTTGCAATAAGGGTCACCAAGTCACGATGTAGTCACAGTGAATAGCAGCAACTCGCAATTGGGTATATTTATGAGCTAAATAACATACCTGTACTCATTTAAACGTCAGTATCCATGACATGCATTCATATATGTATAAGATTATTATCTTCTTCTTTTAGTCAAGGAACGGTGATTGATGAAAGAATTATGAAGAAAATAAAAAAGGATCTTGATCGAACATTCAAATCGGAGTCGACAGACGAGCAAGTTCAAGATATCATTCAGTGTCTTCAGAGACGGGATCTCATCACTGTCATTGACCTTAACAAGGACAACGATTTCCTTAGAGGAATACTGTCTGCGGTTGTCAAAAGTATGTATCAAAAAGATATACATTTACTATACACGGACATAACTGGAAGATGTTACTTGAGTATATGGCAAAAGTGGATTTAGATAATAGGATCTTCATCTGGCGTAGGTTACAATCGGAGAAAATCACATAATCGTCAGATTCTCTAAGTGGCGCATGTGACATGTAGTAAATACTTGAAGTCGGTACTTCTGTTTTCACTGGATGCAACATCTTACCATATATTTCAGGTAAATCGGATACAGATCTGATTGCCCTGGTTGACGAGTACTTGCCATCCCCTGTCTTCAGTCGGAATACTGATGAAAGATTCGCAAAATATGTAGAAGCGAAGAAAAGATCGCCTGATGACACGGATGGTAAGTGTTGATACACTGCTTCATGGATTTGTATCAACCGGTCAGGCGATTTCATTGTTACATCTGTGAAAGAAAACGTTATATCTTATATTGGTTGAAAGTTATTTCAATGCGTCCTCACCGCTATCCCTTAAAAGCGAATAAGATGTTACTGTATTTGGTTGAAAATGCAAGTGAGGCTAGAAATAAACATAACAGGGCTATGTTAATTAAAAATACATTGTTCCAACTTGGTCTTGGATATGCATGAGTTAGACAGGGAGTTGGGGATGCTACAGCTCTTTTATCCATTGTTCAACAACGATGTAAGGACTGCTTTCAGCATGAGTGGACCAGAAATATTCAACCTGGAAAATGTTCATATTCGTATTCTTTGTTTAAACAACATTTTATGTGTGAAAAATATTTAACAGTTGTAGATATAAGGACATTAATAGTATCGTTGTCGCAGTTTCGATGTGGTTTTTATGATTTTTAATGTATTTTAAAAGAATATGTCATGCTAATGAGAACCAATCCTGTAAAATGAGTGGGATATTACTGAAGATGAATACCATGTCCTTCTCATCTGTCCACAGTACGAAGATATAAGGAGCTGTAATATACCATCTAAGTATACGTCCTGTCCTACATTTTACAAATTCTGTATACTAATGTCAACCGAAAATGTACAGCTCCCTCAGAATATTGCTAATTTATACACCATGCACTGTTAAAACGCAAACGCGTTTGTACCACTCATCCATTATAACCGTTTTAACGTGTACTACGGGATTTTGGCCTACAGTTCAGAAATAAAGAACCTCAAAGTGTTGGAAACATGTATCGTTAGCTGTTGTATAAGGCTTTGCATATCTTTTAAGGCAATACCATCTGTGTTTCAACTACAGTAGAAACGAAATAGTAGAAAACCTGGTTAATCAAAGCAATTTGATATTTGCCCTGAAACAAATCCTGTTTCTCAGAGCCAATTTGCCTTTTTACCACACTTACATTTGTCTTGTTACCTTTATACATTCAGTTTCAGACCCAGATGCCATCATTCAGGAGATTCTTGCTGAAGCGTTAGTTCATGAAAAGACAGAATGCGTCGAGTTCATTTTGGACTATGGCCTTGTGGATCTGGAGAACATCAGTCTCATCGACCAGTATATCGAGGTATGAAATATGAATGTTCAGAAGGCATGAATGTGATTTTACCTTTGTAAATCTTATCACGAACTTCACAAGTGTATAGAAAATCTCGCCATACCAAATACATTAAGACAAATGAATAAACGTTTCAGATATCCAAAGCTTGCTGGAGATATTGTTACTATTTTTCAAGGAGTCTTGGTGTATTTCATCTTTCAATATGACAGGGTGAGGTTGCATTTGTCATGCATTCTCCTAACCTTATTGTTTATAAACATTACTACCAGTGTAAATAAGCTACAGCAATAGACGTGATATGAGAGATGTCATTTATTTTAACGTCATGGTAACGACACGCAGTGGTCTGCAACGACTTGTCATGCAGCTTCCTTGTAGCAATATTTCCTGTGGAAGACATTTTTATGGTAAACGTTTATATTCTTATATTACTTTATCTGTTGTAATGGTATTTTCAGACTTATATGTTGAATATATGCTGAAACTAATTCCCGATATTGAATTTTCAGACACGTGGAGATCTTCAAAAGAATGTCGGCAGAATATTTAAGGAAACAAAGGTGTTTCTGAGATATACTAATACATATTCTGAGATACACTAATACATTTAAACATGAACCGAATAATGTACCATAATGTTCATTAAGTCTTGAAAGGTATTTGAAAATTGGGACATGAAATGGATAACTGATGACGTTTCCTGAAATAGCATCGAGCGAAAATTCAGGAGTTATGACATTCTGTGCATGTTCCCATGTCTTGACTTTATCGATGTTCATATGACACCACGTTGTATTGTATTGAGAATACGAGTCAATACATCTAATGAGTGACAAGTGGATGAATATCTAAGCAGCTTCTTGAGAACATGTTTTATATAATCGATCCACAACAAGTGGTTAAAGCCAACCATTCTCAATATGTCAACTCTTTTGAAAATCAGAGCTTATTCGAGACTTGGCTCATATTTACTACAAGGAAAGATATTGAACCAGTAATATATGAATTTTTTTTTTCCAGATGGAGCTTGAGCAGAAACTCTTTCTTGATTATATACTAAAGGATTTTGAGGTACGTTTTCGAAACATAATGACCATAAAAACATTGTAAATTGGTATGCAACAATGTATTTCATATATACACAAGGCAAAAATTATTGCAACACCCCTTATTTTCATAGTATAATATGTTACCATTAACCTTAGTAAATGGCTTCTATATAAGGTCGTCATGCTCTATACCACGCCACTTGACATGACTCGATCAAGTCTTTTGGTGCTCAGAATGGCTGTATCTTCCCTAGAAGTGGTCGATAGCCGAGGGATGACGACCAACATTGCAATAGCTGCAAATGATGTGCCAGCATTCTGCATATAAATAAATTGGCATCTTTGAACAGTTGTGAGCTGAGAAGGCCCCATGCTTGCTTATCAACATCGAATTGAGCTGTCTACTGAAACACGATATTTTCTTAATGACCAGAATACGTATTGCACTTGATACTCATCACTGATCGTGGCACGTGCTTACCTAAGGAATGCATGATGCAACCGAAGGGTCAGAATAATCATACAAACAAACTTCATTATGATAAAAATATATTACCATATGGGGTTAAAAATATAGGTCTTGCGATACATTTATCCATGAATATGTAAAGTTAACAATGTTCGTACCTCATCTTCTTATACAGCTTTCATATCAATAATGACTTTTGTCTTCATTTTTACAGAAAAAGGCAATCTTCGGAAGACTACACGCACTTCTGGAAAAGCTTCGAGAGGTGCGTGATAATAGCCATTTTCAAGGCTGAATGATGTTTGTATCAGTGTTCACTTTACTGTTGACTATTAGAAGTACAAGGGTAGTTACAGTGACAGTACTGTTCAGCTTGATAGAGTCAGTGTTTTCTACAGAAGTGTGTAGAACTGTGCACATGATAGAATTAAGTTACAGTCTTTCTTTAGGTTTTCAAATACTTAAAGGTCACATGCAACCAAAAAATCAATCATAATTAAAACACAATAATCACTTATTCATGACATATAATATACATTGCTGATTATGAAAAAACATATAAACAAAATTATAAGCGTACAATCGCAAATCAAACGTGCAATATTTTGTACTTGGGTTTACTTCCCTCGAAACGAAGCACCCGGGATACCGAACCCAGTCAGAACGAGTGTGTGTGCACTCAAGTGTAACAAAGCCTTCCATTGGCTGGTTCATTTGCCGATGCCCTCACGGCTCATTGTGTGTGTGTATATATTTCATGAAATCACTGACTCTTTCAGGGATTACGTAAAATCCTTGGTTTCACACATTCCCTGTAACATATATACATGGCTGTGACATTTGTTAGTGTTCACCAGTTTGTTCTGAAATGTGTTCACCAATTTATTCAGACTTGTGGTCACGATGTCACCAGATTTACCTTGAAACAAACTATAACTAATCCCCCTATTGTTCTACGGGTGACTGCATTTTGTTGTTTTAAGAATATTAATTTTTGATGATTTGTATCTGTAAGTCCATACCGAAAGGTATCAGAAACTGCAAAGTTGTTTTTTACGTTGCTTGTGACCTTTAAACTGGAATATCCAACGTAAATGGAACCTGTAGTCGTATCTCTGCCAAAAAGACGTAAGCCACCAGGTATACAGAGACTTGCAATAATGTCACCTGGTGTTCACAAATGGTCACAGTACCATGTATAGGCTGCCGCATCATGCCACACTTTACACAGACAAGACATCTTTATTCACGAAACGTTGAAACAAATCAGAAGAGAACACTTGTTGTTTGATTTAAATGCAAGTGTTCATCATTTTGTATTTAACAGTTTACTTGAGACTACGTTACATGTACACGTAATACACATGCTGTTTGATTTATGTGTACCTTATCAAACACCAAACAATAAGATGATATACTGACTGTTGCATGTGAATGTCATTTCAGATGTTGGAAGAGGCTAAAAAGAAGAGTAACATCCACATACTGAAGGTATTATCAAATGTTATACCATACACAAAGTTCGTAAACATTTAGATATATTGATAACTAACATTCCGTCAAGCGATTTCGATATGAACGCAATTCAGCCAAGGAATTCAGTGAAAAGGCATGGTCGCCACCATATTGCTATAAGAGAATGCATGTGAAATGGTTCTGTCATATGTTGAACAAACGTCTGCAAAGTAATGGTAGACATTTCCTGCTTACGTGTTCATGAAAACATACTCCTTCTCTGTATATTAATGCAAATATTATGCTGCAATTATGTGATCAAACCATTTCAATTTCAAAATAGGGAATTGCAAGAAACAACTTTTTTGTCGTTAATTTGTTAAGTTTAGAACCGTCCTCCGCAATGTAATAAGGTTTACATCCAAGCTACAGAACCATTTCCATAAAATCCAGATACAATTGTACGATTCCGACTGTTATGTCATGCTATAATGTAAGTGATGAGACCATGTGTATGTTCCTAGTGCCCCGAGGATGAGATGAAGAAGATACTTGTGTCAACTGTCAAGGAGGGCAAGGTATGGATAATTTTACATTTTCATTGATAGGAATGTGTTCTTTAGAACAGCTAGTGGGAAAAAGTAATTTGATGTTAAAAGCAAAATTATGATAAAAATGTTGGACCCTAAATCATAAAACGTATTATGTTGCAGCATGTTTCTAGGTAACCCTACTATCACTTTTTATTTACAGAACAGGGAAGACCTCCGGAAAAGAGTGACAATGATACTGAAATATTGCCAGGTGAGAAATAATAACGTAATAACCGATGGAAACGCCGAACTGCACATACGTATTCCATACTCATTTCATGATCTATTATTTCAGGAATCTGATCAGATCGACATGCTGGAAGTGAACCCCGCGCACCTGGACTTGGAGGTAAGATACCCCGTAGCATAACACCTGTGAGTAGGTGATTGGGATGGAGCTACATTCTCATTCGCTCATCTTTCTAGTACGTGCAACGGGTCCAAGTTATATATGCACCTTGTAAATGGATACAGCGCTTTATAAAAAGTCATTATTATTACATAATATGTATTGTACTTGTTGATCAGAGGGGTGTAGCCTAGTGGTTAAAGCGTTCGCTCGTCACGCCGAAGACCCGGGTTCGATTCCCCACATGGGTACCATGTGTGAAGCCCGTTCCTGGTGTCTCCCGCCGTGATATTGCTGGATTATTGCTAAACGCGGCGTAAAACTAAACTCACTCACTCACTATTAATCATGATGGACCATCAATTGAATGTGTTGCTGTTAGAACATCGTCACCTAATATTAATATTGTTCATTCAGTTGCATTTGAATGGCATGCATATCTGTTTCAGATGAAATATGCCGATCCACCAGAAGGGACCAAAGAGTTTGAAACGGGAACATCAGAGGTAACATTTGCATTGAAGAAATAATGCTGGGTTTTTTCGCCTGTTTCTTTCAAATATATGCATTCACTGTGTGTGTAGTCTTAATAACATTTGGCATAAAACTATATTTTGATACTTTATTTACTCGTTAAAGTTATTATTGCTACAAAAATGCATGTTGGTATTTTGATGATTTACCCAAACGCCAACTTGGTCATGCTAGGAATTGAAATGATCTTTGAAAATGGTATTGGATACATAAAATATATGACCCGCGTGCCTTTCGAAATCTAAGAATAAACCCTCGTTGATAAAAGTAGAAATAATCAAACCTTGAAGTATTGCAACTTTAATTGACTTGTGGCGATATATAAAATTATCTAGGTGGGATTCTGTGTATTTTCTACGCCAGAGGACTTAACCAAGTTTGTTTATGTTGTAGAAGATTCTTTCAAAGAGTTCGGAAGAAGATGGAGATGGCGAGAATAGTACAGAAACGAAAGCGTTCCAGGACGATTTGGGAGTGAGTAATTCAATCAAATACAGGGGACTGTGTGTCAGACAATGTTTCACTGAATTACAAAACGCCAGGTGATCCAAAATGATTTTTTTCTAAACACTAAATCTTATAATTCTTATCATTACTCATGGATACATATAGGAGAACGCCGTAATCTATCAAATGTATTGTTCAACAGGTGTCCGACACTCGGAAAGAAATCCTAGCAACATTTTCTGAGAAGATCGTACAAAGATTTGTTCCACGTAGTTGTCTCATGGGTGCTGGCAATGACACATTTGATAGGTACATACATCATGGGTGCTGGCAATGACGCATATGAACAAGAAGTAGGTACATTTTATGGGTACATACATCATCCAATAATGGCATGGCGATGAAGAACATGAACAATAAGTAGGAACATTTTATGGGTACATACATCATCCAATAATGGCATGGCGATGAAGAACATGAACAATAAGTAGGAACATTTTATAGGTACATACATCATCCAATAATGGCATGGCGATGAAGAACATGAACAATAAGTAGGAACATTTTATGGGTACATACATCATCCAATAATGGCATGGCGATGAAGCACATGAACAATAAGTAGGAACATTTTATAGGTACATACATCATCCAATAATGGCATGGCGATGAAGAACATGAACAATAAGTAGGAACATTTTATGGGTACATACATCATCCAATAATGGCATGGCGACCAAGCACATGAACAATAAGTAGGAACATTTTATGGGTACATACATTATCCAATAATGAAATAGCGATGAAGCAAATGAACAAGAGGTAGGTACATTTTATAGGTACTCATCCAATAATGCAAATGAAAAGGTATGACACTCACTCATAAAATCACACACAGTCATTAACAGAGTTAATCTCGCCATAGCAAAACATGTTAGTACAATGTAGAAATGTCTTTGTCAAAATGTGATAGTAATAGATGGTTCTCTATTGTTTAGACTGATGAGACCTTGAAGATGCAGCAGGTGTATCGCCAGTGGTTCTTGTGGGCAGTTCTAACCAACAGGAATGACCTAGCTCGGGTCTTTTGGAAACGTGGGAAGGTACGAAGGTTTAATTAGATATATTTGGTTATTTTAACAGAATGTGACGGATTTCGTAGAGCAATGTATACTTGTCACATTGCAGTCGTTCGGCTTGCCCATGCTTTTTGAAGCATTGCTGAGATATTTTATTACTTCCATAAACCACAATGTGCAAATATTGTTTTAAACATATTACCGTGGTGATTTTGAGTGTGATACAACACATTCGATCATTATATTATTCATTGAAACAGGTATGGGAACATCTGCAATGTACCATTCCATATTCTCGTGGCTATATTTCTTTAACTAAACACACACGAAGTGAGATAACATATTGAGCACTTGACATCCCTTTCCTAAAAATAAAATATGGCTTTTGACTGCCCAACACTTTTGTTGTGTTTGGGAGAATGGTGACAGAAAAATATTCCGGTTGAAAATAGAAAATTACAGATACAGGCTTTGGAATAATGAGAAAAACTGTGGATATGCTGCAAGCAGGATATAAAGATTGAATCAGTCTGAATCCCAGAACCTTAATTTATCACGTCAATGGAAATCTGATAGGCAACAACTCGTCCAGTGTCTGCAAGCTGACTGTCAAGCAATACCTCAGGCAATTTAATGGACTTTTGTCAGGATCATGAGACAGTGGTACAGACACTGTGCCTATTCTTGGACCGTTCCAGGCAATGGAGAACTGTTCTCTTCCCAGTTTAGAGTCGGTACTGCGTATCGACTGCAGATGGCAGAACAAAAATATGGCGACGACGTGGCCAGCGTTAATCAGAATGGAAAGAGACTAATTGGGAAGTGCAAGTATGGGGTGAAATAGGCCTGAACCAGAGAGTGGGTCCTGTGGTATTCCAGAACCTTGGTCCAGGGAGAGGAAGCGGCATCACAGCGGTGCGCTACATCGACCAAGCTCTCAGACCTCACGTCATACCACATTTCGCACGTCACCGGAACAACATTTTCCAGCATGATAACACCCGGACCCATACTGCTAGAGCTACACGAGACTTCCTACAGCAGAACGGTGTCAACATTATGCAGTGGCCAGCCCTTAGTCCTAATTTATACCCAATTGAACATCTTTGGGATGAAATTCAGAGGAGACGAAATAATGTCATACCAAGGCCGAACACAGCCGATTTATTGCGCCAGGCCTTTTTCAGAGTGTGGTTCCAGGTGCAAATGGCCTTCATCAATCGATTGGTGCACTCCATGCATAAACGCTGTACTGCAGTTATTGCCGCTCGTGGTGGTCACACTAGATACTGAACTCAAGAGTCTGAATGGACTGCAAACGTTCACGTAATGTCTTGGAATTGTGCTGAGTTATTCATTGATGTGTCAGGATATTGCACACAAAACATGGTTTTGATCAGCTTATTATGTCCATTTCTGTAATGATTGGATTACAGTGCCTATCTTATTTTGAATTCGTACTGACGTTTTTTTGCTGCTGGGTATAGTTGTGAAAATATGTTTTATGTAAACAGGATAAGAGGACAAAGCTATTTTACATTTTTGTACAGGATATCGTAGTGTCCGCACTAGTTGGAGGAACCATCTTGTCTACAGTTGCACAAAAGACTTTCAACAACAGAAAGAAAGCAATGAGAGAAGAGAGCGCCAAGTAAGATACAGTTTTGCTAATTCTACCAAACAGTTCTAAATACTCACCACTATATACCTTTCAAACATTAGTTTTGTCTTTCTATGTCATTGATTATATTTATTAAAATATTCTTCTTATAACGTTTACAGATGTTTTGTGTTTTTGCAGCCTGTACAAGGCACACACGATTGGATTAATGGATGCGTGTTATAGAAATGACAAAGATAAAACTGTGGAGTTAGTGGAGAGAAACACTAAGAAGAACATCTGGAATATAGATTTCTTGGCCCTTGCCTTTGAGAAACAAAACCTCGGTGTCTTTCGGAGTGAAGGAATGACATACTACACCTTTTCAAAGTGGATGGGAGATATTCCAAAGAAAACATCGAACTGGAGAGTTAGTTTTAAGTTTAATTTTGAAATTCCAAAACATCTTTCAATAATATATACATTTTGTAAAAACAATTTAATTGAATAATGGATGACATACAATCTGTAACACCCTTCGTTTCTGATTTGTTGATAAAATCAGTTGAACTGCCAAATCAAATCAATGTAACTTTTGCCTGAAGATCGAGAGTTTGTTTTTGGATGTGTTACTTATGGTAACATTGAGGTGAGACACTAGATTGCTTATTTGCTTCATCAGACAAGTCGCATCTTATTACAATATTAGTAATGCATGAATGTGTCTAAAATACATACTATTGTAAGCAGAAACCTCTTCACCATATTTGAAACGGTATTTTCTTTCAGATTGTGCTATGTACAGTGATGCCACTCTTGATGTGGGTCCTCATTGGATCTAATACAAAAACAGCTCCAAAACTGAACCATCAGAAGCACGGAATAGAGGACAAGGATTCACAGTAGGAGATTTGTTTGTTTGCAGGATATGCTAAACGTTTCAAATTATTAATATCAGCCAATCTATGTTGTGTCTATGTACACATTATGCCAATACCGTCAATTACATATGAAGAAATCTTAATCCCTTTACAGCTTAATGTAAATGGTAAAGTAGTTACTTTGGGTTTGTTAATATGTCAATTAGGTGTTGTTGTTTTTAAATCGATAAAGTGCAGACTCTTTTACTCATATAAATAATACATTAACTTCCAGGAAACAACCATGCTGTACAAGCTGCACATCAGCCTGCAAGAGATTTGGGAACTTTTATTCAACGCCTGTTGTGAAGTACATCTTGAGTCTGGTTTGTGCAATTATTCATTATTCATATAATCAGTGGAAATGTATTCGAAATATGTCGAAATGAAGTTTGCTCAGTTTAGAAGTAAGGCATATCTGTGAAATGTTTGTGAGTAAGTGTTAACGATGTGTATTTCAACAGATCATCTACTGTGTTTTTCTGGGACTATATGCCCACCTGCTGCTTGTTGTTCTGACGTTTGATGCGAAGTGGAACTGGGAAATACCACTGTTAGTATGGATGGTGGCATTTACAATCGAGGAGATCATACAGGTAAACACGATTTTAATCTCTTGAATGTATTAGGTCCAGCTGAAGATGACATTGTCGAATATGGTAAATTATGGAAAGAGTTCTGTCGCTTGAATATCCCAAGTTATTATTGTTTTCTTTAAGTTAAATTAACTTCCACGTTGTGACATGTGTGGCTCATGTCGAGTTATTATTAAAATATGAGTATTATTGTTATTATTATTATAGGATATATATAGCGCATATCCACGCACCTGGTACGTACCCATGGCGCTGGAGTGTTCCCGTAATGAACGGATATAGTTTCTTCTGGCATTGTGTTAAACAACTGGACTCCCTGGGGAGTATTCAACGAGGTGTCTGCACGTGTTCGTGTGTCCACCATCTGATCATCTACCATCGGATGAGTGGGTTCTTTTAAATGTACAGGGTTGTGTAATGCACACTAGAGGTTATTACAACGCTGAAAGAGCCTGCAAGTAATGTTAGCTCTAAGGTTTTTACACCCGGTCACAAGTGGGGATCGATCCAGGCACCTTTTGCTTACTGGCGCAACGCCTTAGATAGCTCGCACACCACCTAATTCGTTAATGATAACATATCGACTGTGACATATCGGAGCCATGTGTTACAGATCCTCCAATTCGCAGTGGAAAGAAGAGAGATGGCAAGAAAAAAGAAACGCCAAAGGAAGAAAACATGCCTTGAAAGTTTATCTTCCGGTCTCCATTTGGTACGGAAATATGCAGGGATCTATTTCCAGGACATATGGAACATACTGGACAGCTTGTGCATCTTAGGATTCATCATTGGATATACCCTGCGGTGGTTTGCAGACACATACAGTTATGGACGCGTGTTCCTCAGCATCAACTTCATGTGTTTCTTCTGGAGACTTCTTCAAGCATGTACCCCCAGCAAAACAATCGGACCAATGATTTACATGGTCTTCAGAATGGTACATATGAAATCTTTTTCTGTCATTTATCATCACATTTTCATTAGTTTCCCAACAGTTCCACTTTCCGGAATGTTATCATTTGATTATGTTCTCATTAAAACATTGCATCATTTATGTTCAGTATTAAGAGAATTCTCATCCTATTATTATTTTTCTACAGGTAGCAGATTTGGTTCCATTTCTTGTCATCATATTTGTGGCCATTGGTTCCTATGCTGTTGCTACTGAAGCCATTCTCTACCCAAATGCATCCTGGTCGATCGGTTTTGTTCTGGCTATACCGAGAAAGGCATTTTGGCAGATATTTGGAGAGTTGTTCTTTGAAGAGATCGCAGGTGTGTAGAGTGTACCAATAAAATGATTTGGCAAGTTTATTAATAATCGTGAACAAGAGTCATTGCATGTTCTAGGTGTGCGTCCATGTGAGGACTGGCTCCCCGAAACCTTTGAGTTGATGGGTCGGGTGACCGGGCTTGGTCACTTGTTTGATACCGAGTCTTTACCCAATAGCTGGCTTGAATATTAATGGCCAACACAAGCAGCCACTAAATCGTAGCTGTAGGCATTTCTAAATCTGTGACGTCCAACGTCGCTTATCAGGTCGGAATTTTTTTTATCTGAAACCATACATATCAGGAACTATATATTCTGAAACCGTGTTATTTCAGTTGCACCGCTCACTAAGCACTTTTGCAATAATCATAGCCAGTAAACAACTTTAGTACAGTTGGTTTCTATTGCTGCCTATTTGTTTACGTCCGGGATGGTCTGACCGGTCAGCGCTGAGATTTCACGCTTTCTTTATATTTTTATCCTTAAAATGTCAACGAGTCAAAGTATGGCATTTATGATACATTTCTCCACTCCCTGTCACCTAACTTTCGTTTCAAGGCGTCAAACTTTGATCGAAAGCCATTAAAGTATATAATTAGTTTATTGTTACTATATCATAGAGTCCATCAGCATATTTCTGTTAATAAGTCCTATTTATGGAAGTTACGATTGTTTTAATTTTACAGGTGAAGGATGCATCCCTCCAAACTGCCCAACGGAGATGGGAAAGCTCTTGGTTCCATATTTCACGGCTATTTACCTACTCATGACCAACATCCTATTGTTGAACATTCTTATTGCTTTATTCAAGTATGTTTTTCTTCTGTGGTTTTCTCTTTAGAAGTAAGCTTATTGATATTCTCTTACTAAACATATCGTCATTTCATTATAACCTACCCACCCTTCTAACCTTGCCTATTCCCAAGTAGTCGGATGTTATGTTGTCGTTGTCGATCCCTCATAATCATTGCACATAACGGACGTAAGCCAGTGATGCTGCGGGATGTCAAAGCTCAAATCTGGAACCGGACGTTACTCGTAGACACCTGTGACGCTATCGAACTGGAGGTACCAGTCAGTTGTACAGTAAAACATGTTTATAGCAAACACGCTTACACCTTGGTGGTGTGTGGTCCTGTGCGTAAAGCTCAGGTCACAAATCAGTTGACGTTAAGCACCGTTGGGCGCGGAGACCACTACATGTGGTCTCGCCTTAGGCAAGTAGGTTCAACTAAACTTGCCTCTATTCACCCAGCCGACACTAGGTACCCGGTGGGATAAGTCATGTGACTATTAACTTTTTAGCATCTTTCGGCAACTAAGGTTACTTGTCCCTTTAAGATTATCATAACCGTAGTAAAGTGTACTTGTTACCGATCTAAGAGCGACTGTATGGTTTAACAGTGACACGCAGCAATAACTGACCTGCAATTCCTGTTTCAAGAATTCCAAATGAACGCATCCATTCGTTTTACAAACTGGCTTGGCAATCAGATTTAATCTGATTGTTTATGGTGTACAGGGATATTTCACAAAGACTGCAGGTACTGGTCGTGAGTTATGTTGTGGGTTTCCAGTCGCAAATGAGAAAATAAATAAGAAAGTTTTTATGTATACAATTCCTGGCATATCGTAACATCATCATGTACACTAAACGACCAAAGAAACGTTACCCTCCTTCCTTTATGACGGAGGTACCTATCTTCAGCTGGCGTTGTGATGCGTGGACGTCCACTTTCTGGTCTGTCTACGGTGACCCCAGTCTGTCTGAAGCCCTGAATAAGTCTTATAACCATGATACGATGGCATCCGTGGGCGTTGGCAACAGCATTGTATGTCGACCCCATCTGCATCATCCCAATGGCTCTTTCCCTCCCTTCAGCTGTTAATCGTGGCATATTTCTCGTACTTGTGTATCAGATTATGTCTTCTATGGTCTCTTTATACCCTAGAGAATCATTCTGCATGTGAAATGGATGTAAATACTGTTTGAATATTGCTGCGTTTTGGCGATTGACATTGCTATGTTAAAATGGAAATGGCAAAATGTTACTTTGCAAGCAAAAATGTTAGCACAGATAATTGTAGATATTCCTAAACATGTTTTCACAATATCAAAGACACAATTTACTTGTTTTCACTAATGCAAATCAGCAGAAAATGTTTTAACAGAATGAAATCATAGGAATGATTAATTTACAATTTTACACACTCTACAAGAGTTGTTTCTTGTTTTAATAGTTGAAAAATGGTGACTTTAAATGGTTTATCATTGTCCCAAAGCAGAATATTATTTTAACCTTTCTTTTGGACATCAAAATCACTATTATTGGTTTATTTCGGTATGGACGAATATAGGACAATTTAACTATTGCATTTCACCCAAATATAAATGCATTTGAGATTTCTTTTTCGTGAAGCTTTTTGCATAAAGCTGTGTTGTTAAGCATTCTTGTAAACTAAATCATTCTAAAATATCTTTGATAGTTTTTCATTAATTCACAAAGGTAAGAGGGTAACGTCTCTTTTGGCGTCTAGTGTATATTTTGTTGGAGAACAATTGCATTTGTCTATAATGTACGTTTCCGCTATGTTTGCATACAGATATCTTTTCCAGCAACATTTATGAAGATGTGCGCCAGAAAGCTGATGAAATCTGGTCCTGGCAAAAATGTCGACTTATGGTGGAATATGAGAACAAACCGCCTTTTCCCCTACCCTTAACCATCTTCTGGAGAATTGGGAATCTGTTCACACTTTGTGGATCCTGCAAGAGACGTCAGAGAAAGAAGGGTAGAGTACAATAATCATCATGTTCTACGTTAATAATAAGAATAACTTTATTAATGGTGACAACAGAGAAAATGACATTGTATCTAAAATATTTGTGTTGTCATTTGTAGTACCAGATACCAAAGACGACAGCCCCACTCGTGAAGAACCAACTAACACACTTGAACTTCCTGTGGTGAACGGTGAGTAGAAGTGAACGGTGGTACACAGAATTTCTATAAATCCAAATACATCACGAATGCGTTTTTTTCACATACATGAATGTTGGAAAAAGAACACAAACATGTGTGAAACGTATGAATATAATTCACTTAACTAGCATTCGAATCCAGAAAAGGAATCAATTAGTATGTCATACAATGTATATTTGTTTTAGCCATCGACCCAGCTAATGAGCACTTGGGAATACTTCTACGGTTATACAACGTCTTTATTTTGTATTCGTTGTAACACAAATGTCATATATCCATAAATCTATCTTCTCCGACCATCGTAACTTCCAAATGACACTTCAGAAGTTCTCTTAAAGAACAAATAAACTTTGTTTTTTGTACTCTTTTAACTATTACATATGAAAGATTTGTGGTTAGTCTTATGCGGAACACCAAATTCATTCTTAGAAAACTTGTGGTTAATTAATACCGAGCGATTAACAGTTGCAAAAAGTCGCCTGCTTCACTCTCGCCCGCCAACGAAACCACAGACAGGTTACGTAACTCTGTCGCAAGAGCACTGCAGTGACGTCATATGAGGAAGGATTTTCAGTTAGTTGTATAGAAAGTGTGTAGCAAGCTCGTCATTTTGATGATTTCTCAACATCAACGAAGACATGCCGAATCGTTGCGTTGTCGTCAATTGCTCCTAGGGGTCGGGCAATGGTGTCACCATGCACAGATTTCCACAGGACCCCGCGGTTCGTGCTAAATGGGTTATGTTTGTGAGTGCGAAGCGAGCGTTGGGGAAGCCTGAAACGATATCTTACTTGTGTTCAGATCGCTTCATGGAAGTTAAAGAATCAAAACTACTTACTAGTTGTAGTAAAATATGTATATGATTGATGACCATAAAGATTGTCCATGACAGAACTTGTAACATAACGATTTCTTCCTCGGAAGCGAGGTTGTGGTCAGAGTGACAATAATACTGTTAGTAGTATTATATTGACACCCACCTCGTTTCCACGAGAGAAATTGTTATGATATAAGCTATGTCATGCAAAATCCTATTGGCCATCAATCAAATACATATTTTACTTCCAGTAGAAAGTAGTTTTGATTTTGTAACTCGGTGAAAACAAACCTAAATAGCATTTATCCTCAGACTGGCGGATGTTCGCGACAGGGCGCCGCCATTTTTGAAAATCGTAAAGTCATGGGCTAAAGTCTGTTAGAATTAATGAGATTATGGTTTGTTTTCATCAAGTTAGAAAATCAAAACTACTTTCTACTCGTAGTTAAATATGTATTTAAATCACGACCAAAAGGATTTTGCCTGACACAACTTATAGCATAACGATTTCTTCCACGGAAGCGAGGTGGAGATACTGCGCGATAAATGTCTTGCTACATTCACGTGGTTAACGTCCACTCACCAGTATGTAGATACTAGTCAATGTACGTCTTTATTTTGGGTCTTATAATCCTAATTAGTTTATTATCATACTTGTATGCATTTTGAAACTAAATAAAAAGCAGACAATCTGCTGATACTTATAGTGAATTTATAACTGGACTGTAATATCTAGACATTTTATAGTTTGCCAATGTGAATCATAATTCGCACACACGCCCTAGTGTATGTTGTCTGTCTCATTACACTTCACGGCGAAAACAATGATTCTGTTGAATGCTACGACAAATGATTAAAAACAAAATGCAAATATTAAAATTAAAACAGATTAAAGTTATAGGAACAATGTCAGGCTATTACCTTGTTCGAGGAATGTATCCATCAATATCCACCAAAAACGAGTGATATGCCATTCATCTGCAGCTGTTCCAAGTGATGTGTCTTTTAACAGTCTAATATACGAAAAGGTGACATATCGTTTCAGGTATAGTCTCATTGGTCACCCAAGATAGCAACTGCATAATGTCCGCCTTTCTTTGGAAAAAAGTAATTTAGTTAGGCAATAATGAGCAATCAATCAATGTATTGGCGGTTAGAAGGACGTTGTTTTTACGCAGACACAGACACGACAGAGTGTATTCAGTATAAATTAGTAAATCTACATACGCAAACACTACCTTTTGACAAATCCGCTGTGCAAGATAAAACTAATTAATCAATCAGCGTGTTATCGGTTAATCCTTTGATCGACGTTTATAATGTTGAGCATATACTCCAGACACACGAAATGCCAAATGGGAACCTTTGTCGGGTTATCTAAGTGGTGTTACCACTAATTATACCTGTTATAATTTCATTAACTGACCATCAAGTGAATGATGACAATACCATGTGAAGGTTTATAACACGGGTTATAACAAGGGAGTATTAATTGCTGTATTGCATGCAATTTTAATTGCATGTGAAAACTTATGGGCCGACACTGTTTTGAGAATACAAACAGAACTTCATTGTTGCATAAGAAATACATATAGGCAGTTTCTGTGTGCTAAAGCTGTATGTACCTATTTACCCAAGTAAATTTTCAGATGCTTCTAGCAATGGCAAAGTAGGGTTGTTTAGTTTACGGATTCAAATAAATCAAATGTCAATTTTTAATATCATACGTAATAGACGTCATATTTTTACATGACAAGACACCAAGCGATTTTGACAGAATCGTCTACGAAAACAAGTTGTAACTCTGAAACTAGGCAAAGCAGGAGGCAAAATCAAATGACAGTAGATTGTGAGACATATAGCTTTAATTTTTCACAACAGTTGTCACGATTTCAGGTTTATACAAACTTGTAAACAAGATAATTTACCCCCTGAAAATGTACTTGAATTCTGCATCAACCCCCATAGATATTCCTTATATGACGTCACAGAGACGCGCCGCTCTGATTGGTTGAAATTTCGTTCGCGGGTGAGAATTGTGCACTGTTGTCAAAAAGGTCGATTTAAGTTAATTAAGATCGAAATGAGTAGTTTTAATGACGGGGTTCCATTAATAACGATGCCTATTAGTGATTTATGTATTTGTACCCCCCTAGAGTATATGTGATCTTTAATAGCAAAACAATAGTGTGCCTATGATCTAGTTATGAAATATATCGTTATCCTTCCTCACAGGTATAGACACTGACGATGTTTCTTTCCATGAAGAGCAAGATGCTACTTCCAACGCTGACACAGAGGCTGGTGTGCCAACATTACAAGCTGTTGCTGAAGAGGCAGTTCGCGAGAATGCTAACCACGTGGTAAACGATGAAGCAGATGTGGACATCGGTAACTACTTGTCAATGTCTAGTTTTATTATTGCTAATTCAAGCTATTCACTGATCATTACCTTCTGATATCACTAAAGTTCCAACTACAATGGGGTCAGTGGGGTAGCCTAGCCTAGTGGTTATAGCGTTTGCTCGTCACGCCGAAGACCCGGGTTCGATTCCCCACATGGGCACAATGTGTTAAGCCCATTTCTGGTGTCCCCCGCCGTGATATTGCTAGAATATTGCTAAAAGCGGCGTAAAACTAAACTCAGTCAGTCTGATATCACTAAAGTTCCACCTACAATGGGGGCAGTGGGGTAGCCTAGCCTAGTGGTTATAGCGTTTGCTCGTCACGCCGAAGACCCGGGTTCGATTCCCCACATGGGTACAATGTATGAAGACCATTTCTAGTGTCCCTTGCAGTGCTAGAATATTGCTAAAAGTGGCCTAAAACTAAACTATATCTCTATATTGATATCTCTATTTAACTGACTAACTGAGTTTGGTTTTACGCCGCTTTTAGCAATATTCCAGCAACATCACGGAAACGACACCAGAAATGGGCTTCACACATTGTACCCGTGTGGGGATTCGAACCCTGGTCTTCGGCGTGACGAGCCAACGCTTTAACCACTAGGCTACCCCACCTCCCCTATCTCTATTTAAGAATGACACAATTATAATACGGTTTCAAGCATGGGTGTTTTAACGACAAATCTAATAGGTCAACGACAGATCAGTAGATCTCGATGATCTATTCCTTTGGTCTTAGAAGGCAACATAGTGGTGGCAATTATATGAATGGGTAAAAGAAAAACTCAAGGCTTACACAACACTCACCTGTGATTACCTCTATCTGTATCATAATGTCTATTATACAAGTCTTCATTTATCTTTCAGCTGAAGATGACGATTGGGATATTTCTATTGACGGTAAGTATGATTTAAATATGCATACATTAACCAATGAGTACTGCTAAATTAATCTACGACTGACAGAAATATATCGTTCATTTTGGTTTGAAACAAATTTTGCTACATCGATGAAATACTTCCATTCTGATTCCGTACGTCGAGCGCAATGCCTCAAAATCCCATGCTTTCGATTAAATGGCAGGCAGTGGTCGCACTGGCGGCTAAATGCTACTTGTATGGATAGATGACCATCACTTGGTATGAAATCTGGATGAGAACATTGCTGTGTTGTTATACCCAATGTTTGCACTAGAGGGATATATGTAGTATTGGGTTGCAACTTGCAGACAATGACGTTTCACCTTCTGGTCACTCATTCTATAGGTCTTGTAAGCGCTGAGCGCTACTCCCGGTTCCCTTAGCGCGCCAACTTGCGATATGCGGGACGGGGCCCAGCTTACTTCCGGTACCACAAGATTTCCGGTGATAAGCGTATATTCAAGAACCAGTTCTGATTCCAAATTGCGTGACCTCCAAATATGACTTTACTAGACAGGACCAAGTGTACGTCGTTTGTCGCCGGGAGTACTAAGGTCTCGCGAAGTGCCGTGACCTACTTACAGGCCTTAATACATACTTCTTTGTTTTCTTATTCTTTTTAAAGATGACGGATTGTCGCTGTCGACGTTTAATTTTGATGACCTCGATCTGGACTTAACATCAAGTGATGATGACAACTTCTTCGATGAAAGTGACCCAGAAGATCCATTAGATGAATTTGAAAGAACAAATGCGGAATTCTACATCCAAACAGAGAATATCAAGAGTTAATTCTCACTATACACACTTCATCAAACCCCTTTGTGAGACGACATCCATGTCTTTTAAAACAGCGGTCACTCTGTCTGGGGTATTAAAGATTAGAACACTCTATACTTATAATACAGTGAACACTCTATAGTACGGACACCATCAAACCGGATACTAAAACCTACGGGCGATTACTTTCACGGTTACATGTAAATACAAGTGTTCGTTCATCCGGAAATGTGTAAATTCTTTGTAAGTCTTAGAAATGACACCATCTAAGGAATATGTCACTATATCTAAGTTTGCATCAAAAGTTTAGCCACTCAGGAAGTAAGAGAGAGATATAATGTGATGATTCCTGGAGTCAGAGGCGGCTTCAGAATGACAGGAGTCATGTGAATGTGTTTTGTGTGACTGTATGTTGAACTCATAGTTGTTCATATACATTCATCTTATTGCGGTCCTTTTGGTTTGGTGTTTATTGAGCAAAAGCTGCTTGAATTACACAGTATACAGTTCAGATCAGTAGTCTGTTTCAGTAAACTGTTTTTACGTTTATAAAGAATGCGCAGTGTTCAGACTCACACCATTATCAGCATACATTCATGTGTTTTTACGTTTAGGAATTGTGTACAGTTAACTGGATTTGTGCTCTCAAAGAGTAACATTCAATTCAATTCAATTTAAAATGTTAGTTTCGGTTGCAATATGTCATGCATGGCGTTACAATGAACAAATATTTACATACTTGATTCCAGACTTTGTGATAATACCTACCTTAATATTTACCCTACGATTTTGTATAAAATGATATTATCCATATTTTGCACGGAGTACCTTTGTATTCATGTGGGTTATTTTGATATCATTCTTTTGTCTGTATTTATTGTCGCTTTGGAACTTTTTAACATATTGCATTGCAGTGTTAACCACTGATTCACTATCGTTATCTGACGGCCGCACGTGCCAACATGCACACCACAGCGCGTTCATGTCTCGTGCCGACATGCACACGACAGGGCGTTCATGTCACGTGCCAACATGCACACCACAGCGCGTTCATGTCACGTGCCAACATGCACAACACAGGGCTTTCGTGTCACATGTTGCCGTGGTTGGTGATTACTGTTACCAACACCCGTTATTGATACGGTTGTTGTTATGTCTGTCTTGATCCTGGCATTACACATTAGCCTTTGAAGATGAAATTAATGATTTCAGATCATACCAGATGCACTATTTACTTTTCATATATACTTTTATGAAATATAATAAAATGTTCCTCAAACTACCGAGCTTTGTGGTCTCTTTGGAACAGTGACTGGGTAGCGACTAACGGTATCTATAAAATTATTTGTGCCATATTGCTGTCTGCTGTTTGCTTTGGTACTTAACGAGTGGCCAAGTGTTTTCACATGTTAATTGTCAAATGTGCTGTTTTCCTCACCATGTGACAAAGAAACTTTGTAACTTTCAAATACACATCGGATTCGAACCGACGAATTTGTCACACAGTTTGTGCGAAGTCAACTAATTGTAGTCCCACCCGACATATTATGAGAAACTTTGTATCCATGGTCATAGGTTTTGATTACCGAAACCTGCATATTTCCAACCGGCCATGACAGTATCCGGAACAATACTCGTAAAAAGGTCGATACGTTTACAGTTTGTCTCCGAGAAGCTTGCTTCTATCCAAATACAATGTGGCGATCTTAACTGATACGTATCTATCCTATGGATCTATAACCGTTATACTTTAGTTTCCATGGACTGACAGATACATTTATGTACAAACATGTGCAGACATATTTTCATTTTATAAAGTTTGAAAATGCAACTACCACTGTTGTCACCTATGCGTGAAGTACAGAGGTACTTTCAAAAGTGTCTTCTATGTTCATCGAGGTTTGCATTTCTGTGGGTTATGATAAAATCATGTTAATGTTTATTAACAAATAGTGGTTACTTTCTAGTTCTGTAAGTCAGAGGCTCCGTTTGAATGTAAACACAAAGCATTTGAGGAAAATGCGTGCAGAATGCACAATGTAAAAGAAGGATCGGAACAATTTGCTTTTTAATAGTAATAGCGAAAGGAAGAATATCCTGAGCTACATATGCCTCTTGAATAAGTCCATGTGTCTGTTGAGACATGAACTTACTCTGATGAGATTGTGTTGGCAAAATCAGGTATGTTTCATTACCAAACAGTGTGATCATCTGAAAGAATTTCACTCAGCCAAGCGTTTGTCGTGTTCGTGTTCAGGAGGACAATTGCCATAGATCTGTCTACCGATTGGCTTATACCACACACAGGACCAGGATTACATTTAACATCACACAAATCATAAGTAGCGATAACAATATCAATAGGTCACTAACATTACCTAATTAATGAGACAAAAGGCAAAACATATAACACAAGGCAAGCTGTACACTATGTGATCAAAGTACACATTATATTGCTCAGTAAACTTGGGTGAAAGTTTTAAAATGGAGGACACGAAATTTACTAACGACTTTGTGAAAACTCCACACGCCAATGCGTTGTTGAGTTAGATCATTTCCCATCAGCATTGATTTTAGGTTGAATAGATTTAATGCACAAACGTCAAAAGAGCAAATATGAGGTAGTAAGTTTCAATTTCAATAACTTACAAAACAACAATCACAGGTCCGAGCCAACTCAATCAAGACTTATCCTGACGAGAAACCGACCACTGAATGAAATAGCGATGTCCCAAACAGGGACAGGGTATGTCACATCAACATGCTTCATTTACTCTTGAGTGTTTCCATACAGGACATGGCAGTCAACATAAGAGAAGTATTTTATTACATCAAATAACAAGCTTCTATAATTATCAGTAAGTAAGCTTTCTTTGTGATTGATTCAAAATAATCTCAATGATAAGCACACATGTAGCAATCGCCACTCCAAGTGCACAAGCAACTGCAATGATCCACAGGTTCTGAACCTGAATTGAGCTCTCTTGTCCTTGTTGAAGACACAGTTTTCTCCTCGGTGTCCATTTTTCTATGAGTCCGCTCACTGCCCCATTCTCAACCAGATACATTAACCTGCAAACAGAGTACATCTGCATGCTACAATATACGTACTTTATGAAGAATTAGATAAGATACACAGACTTAGTTAAATGAAAATATATTATTGCTAGAGGTCATTCAAGAGATCCTTTATTTCTGATGTCTATCTCGGGTTTGTGTCAAGCCATTCTGAGAAGTGTCGAAATCTCGATTTAGACAAGTTGTCCTCAATGAGTCTCCAACTACTATACTGATTTGGAACCTTTATAGTCCGTTTGACTTCAGTTTAGACTGATGAATTGCTCACTCACACAAAATCTAATAAATGCAACAAAATCAAACTTTGCTCAGTCCCATGAAATCGATAGACCAACTTTGATGATTTGTGTCATAATTTTGGACACCCGAATAAACATGTTATTTAACAAAGTTTGATTTTGTTGCATTTATTAGATTTTGTGTTAGTGAGCAATTCATCGGTCTAAAATGAAGTCAAACGGACTTTAATGTGAGTTAATTTGAAAATTGTCCTCTATGGCTGTCAGTTGCCCCGAAATTGTCTCCCGTCAATAGAACATATCAATATATTTGATTGAACATAGTACAAAGTTTCGTTATCTTTGAGATGAGGAAATATGAAAATGGCTTACTTACTCTTTGCTGAATAAATCCGTTAATGGAGAATTTCGAGGAAAGAGGAAAGAAAGGTAGTCTGAGAGAAATACTTCTTTGATTTTCACAACTTGACACGTGTCGGATATGATGGTGTCCCACACCCAAGCATTAGTTATGAGGATGTAGTTGCCATGAGAAATTTGTTCTTTCTGATATTCTATACTTTGAGCCCGTGCTTCATCTTGTCCTTGTAATGTTTCCTCTATCCTTTTTAGACAATGTTTGAAACACGTGATCCTTGGAATGCTATAAATGAAATATTACAAACTCATAACATCAAAACTGAATCCGTTTCAAACAATTATGACTATATGATTTTTATGATTAGCATGTATGTTTGGTCAACTGCCAAAATAATTGCATGTGTCAGTATATAGTAACATGACACGGCGTAGTCATTCCTATTGAGTAGAAATTGCTCCGCTTAAAAGATCTTCTTTGTTATGACTGACATAAATTCATAAATGCTGAGCTACAGAGCCTTGTGGAGTGGGGTAGCCTAGTGGTTAAAGCGTTCGTTCGCCACGCTGAAGACCCGGGTTCGATTCCCCACATGGGTACAATGTGTAAAGCCCAGTTCTGATGTCTCTCGCCGTGATATTGCTGGAATATTGCTAAAAACGGCGTGAAACTAAACTCCCTCACTCACTCACTTGTGGAGTGATCCAAACTAACTTATTGCTAGAATCTTCCTGATTGTGACGTTAAATAGGATTAAATCTTCCAAGGTTAGGTATGATGAAAGAAGGTTTGTGTTCAAGCCCATCACAATAATAGCCACCTTAAAAAATATCCCCATCAACTTTAGGGGATTTTGATTACGCTGTTCATTTACTGATACATTTTCGTAGTGTTTTAATTTGTGGCCATCACCCGGAGTGCAGTTTCACTAAATATACTTCCCATCAATTGTTTAGACTCACTTAAAACACTCACTATATATATATATATATATATGGTTACATCGAAGATTGATTTCTCCACTAACCTGAGGGAACCAACTGCAAACCTTATGCATGTGAATTGCACGAGGATCATGCATCAAGTTGCTGAAAAGCACGTGCAAACATCGTGCATGTGAACAGCTACGTTTTGGTGTAAAGTTTTGTTTGCCAATTTTTACTGATTTTTATCATTTATTTAACTCATGAATATAATCTTTTCAACGTTACGAATTTGTTTTACAATACATCAGGTCATGTGTAAACGGTACCTTTAAACAGTATGGAATATTTTGCAAAATTTTTGTTTAGATCAGTTGACTGAAGTAAGTGGCTCTATTTACACTAGTGTGTCTAAACTCATGATGGGAAGTATAGTTTGTATTACCTTGAACGCGATTTGGGAATAGCTTCCTGGGATGGAAGCAACTTTGAAGTCAACTTGTTGCACCAATTCCGATAGAGTATCGAAAGGAACCGTTTCCTTGGAAACTGAAACCAGTGCAACCAGGTTGCCCGTGTATACAGCTGTCATCATCACACAGAATATACACCAGAAGCTGAACAGGATGCGGCCGGATTGATATCGAGGCAAGTGGTTCAATCCTGAAACCGAATATCATTTAAAAAAGAGTAAACTGTACTAGTGTATTTGCTATAAGTAGTTGTAACACCAACCCTGTTCTACATTGTATCGGGATTACCCCATTTCTGATTACAGCATCTACACGTCATCTGCACGAGGATGATGACGTCATCAATGTTGATGTCTCCAACTTGCTCGTTGTGTCTTAGTGTAAGGAACATCCCCACACTAAGTACATTACATTGGGGCCATGCAGTACGCGAGTTCCAGATCAACGAACCCTGTCTTACATACATATATACCATAGCTTTGAATAAGTGATCGCACATGACTATATGCCCGGCTTTGAGTGAGTGAGTGAGTTAACATTTAAAATCACATCGGCAGTATTTCAGCCATATCGTGACTAAGTAAGTTGTAAATTTATAAATGAATAAAAACAAACTTATATAATATACTTACCTGTCAAAAGACAGTAAAACAACTAGATTATCATAGAAACAAATATAAAACAAGTAATTAAATCTAAAACATCCTAACTATAAATGAAAATACAATACAAAACAGGCTTTATATTGCCAACAACTGAATGTAGATGACCATACTAGGGACTGCCCGGCATTAAAGTACTAGTGTTCAATAAACAAGTTTAAGAAAGGATAGTTCTTTTTTTCTGTTTGTTTAAGAACTGGAAGAAGACAACTGAGGCACACGTATTCTGGGTACCAGGTTCCAGGAATTTATCGAGTTAGATCTGAATGTAATCCTGAGTCCTTGGTGTGGATTGATGTACAAATAAAGCTCGTCTTGGATGTAAGGTACAACAGTGAAACGTGTGTTTGTAGAAGTATGAATATACATCAAGCTATTACGAAGATTATGTGTAGATATTCATATCGTCTAGATTAGAGAGTCTGTATGAAATCAAATATATCAAAGCTAAAATACGTAGGCTTGTTACCTTGACGTAGTGGTACATGCACTCCAATTTCAATAGCTGCTGTTGCTGCTTTTTTAAAGGGCCATTTGTTCCTCTTG